GATAAGACTTCAAAATTCAATGATATTAATTTATTTTAGATAATTATCAAGTAACACTAAATCTATTTTATATAAAATATAGTATTCTTAATATGTCTATATATTTAGCCACGTGTAACTCATGACTTCATCTTTATTGCCATTAGATAATATAGTAATCTCTGACATGGAATCAACGTGTTTATACTTATTTGTTATTTATACCTATAGTTTCTCATGAAAGAAATGAGTAATGTTGAATTAAATAACTTAAATAATATTATAATATTTAGACAAATAACAAGCAAGAACAACTTTGTACACAATAATGGTAGAACATATATGTTTTGAGATGTGAAAAGATCAAACAGATAAACATTTCTATTAACACAAGTGTATGTTCAAAAAACTATACGACTCGGTACTTCAAATACACATAATACCAAGAAACTCGAAATATTGATTTTCTTAAATAAAATTCAAAATTGTATTAACAATGAATATACATCGAACATCCAATAAGAGTTCTCCACATCTTCATTTGGAGTTCTTCCAACATATCTTAACCCAATGGCTTTAGAGCCTCCAGGAAAACACATATAGTCTCTTCGTGATTGATCGTCTGATGTAATGACTGACAAAGGAAGCGCATTACAATACGAAACCTATTTAACATAGATACATTAATAATACGTATTGCATGTTCCAAAAACTTGAAGTACACGCTGTAAAGCACAAAAATAGTTGAAAACAAGGCTCGACGGAGTTCAGAAATACGTGTTTCATTAAATAAATAAAAAGAGAGAAAATTTACCATTGATGTCAAAAAAGCTGACATAAGGTATACCAAGGGTGATGCACCAGCCGATTATTCGCACGCAATCTAATATAGTGTCCTGCTTCGCGCCGAAAATAATCAAAATGTGCCTTGGCAGCTTTTTCGTTTTACTCGCGGCGCGCACCAACCACTCCACTTCTGTCCTCGAATTCTCACCGTGCCAAATTTCGGTGCATTTACGGTGAAGCAAAACACAATAATTATAAATCGCGATGATTAGGTCGTAGAGAAAATGCGTGAGTATCAGTAGCGTGCGAAATACCGTGAACATAGTGCTTTTCCTCGACCGCCACGAATCTATGTAACATAATCACGCGGAACTGATAAAGTTCACGAGATTTTTCAAAACGACCCGGGGAATGTCCAAGGAACGTTGTGTCGTTCTCGTGCAGCTAGCCGCTGACCCGTCTAGCAGACGGTCGTCTCAGTCTCACGTGCACCTGCCTACACTACATTGGTGACGGTGACGGTGACGATGACGTACATAATCGGTACATAAAGTATACAGAACATTCTTGCAGGAACGAAACTCTAGTCAGAAGTCAGAACCCTTGCCACTCATCACTGTATCACCCTGAAATTTTAAACCTATATACGAACAGTGTTGCCGCTTCTACAAATTAATATTTTGTCCTCCTACGCTGGCCCTCTGGATAGAAGAGGACGGAAGAAACTGCACTGGGAAATTTGAAACGTTGGAAAGCGCGGTAATATTTAAATCGTAATGTGTTAATAAACGGTGTCTAACAAACGTATATAATTTCACGAATTGAGTATTACTTTAATATTATGTTCATCGTATGGCATATATTACTGAATGTTTCTACGTGTTTAAGAAGAATTTGATATACATTTTATATATGTAGATATTCGAGAGTTTGAATTAACAAAACATACAAATATTTCCGAAAGATGGCGCTGGTGATTTTTAACGAACTTGTGTACGCATGCGCACTTGAATACAAGGTTCACAAGCTACTACATAACATTCATTGGCCTTTAGGTTTTTGAAACGTAAATGTGAAATACGTTCGTAACATGATACATGGCTTCTTATTTTGCTCCTATTACTGCAAATTCTAACATTGAATAGATTGAATAACAATTGTGATAATCAGTGCATGTATGTCAGGTTCCGGCAATCGACCTTAGAATATATTCTATTTAGGTTCCGCCGTTTGAAAAATAGGTTATAACGGAATGTCCGATGTACCAGAGAACATCGCTTCATATCTAGATAGGAATACTACATACTATTTTTTACGATTATCCTTGTAGATGGTGCAATTGTTGGAAGTAGTGAAATTGCATTTTGTATAAATTAGTGTGTTTACACATTTATCGAAAAATATTAATTTTTCTATTACAAGACTTTATATTAAAAATTTTGAAATTTCATTCAGAAGACTGTGCATGCGCAGTATGTACTATCTATGCCCCTATACATATACCACATGTCCATAATTTATTCGCAGTCCGCAGTAGAAAACGTTAAAACGTGTTTGATCTTATGAGTAAAATGCCGCCAATTTGTACTAACGCACTTTAATTCAATCTACAATATCAATAGAGTATCCAGAATTAAATTTGCTATTTTGTGAAATTAGTGAAATAAATAATGAGCATTGTTACATTATCATAAGAAAATAGGAACTTTATCTGTTAGGCTAAAACATTTAGGTTAGGCACGTGGTGCATGTTGTATCTATATAAGCCGGTAATGCAAAACCTGGATATAACAATCGATCGTTTTTAATGTTTTTAGTGCTTATTAATTAAAAACATGTCATTCCGAGGACGTGGAGGTGGCGGGTATAACAGAGGAGGTGGCGGTGGTAGCGGATTTCGTGGTGGAAGAGGTGGTGGAGGCTTCCGAGGACGTGGTGGTGGATTTGATAGAGGTGGAAGAAGGTAATTAATTAATCTATTCATCTATGTTCGTAATTAACAGAGATTCACGTTACTTTCTATGCGACAGCTTTGATCATGGTCCTCCAGAAAGAGTTACTCCATTGGGTCGCTTTACGTGGACAGTGCAAGATGATCTTGTTGCCAAAGCAGAAATTGAAGATGTACCCTTTTTTAATGCACCAATATATACAGAAAACAAGCAACAAATTGGTAAAATAGATGAAATATTTGGTAATGTTAAAGATTACTATGTGTCTATAAAGTTGTCAGAAAACATAAGGGCGTCAAGCTTTGAGAAAAACACAAAGGTTTGGAACAGACTTCTTTTTACACGTATACTAGATATTTTGTCAAGGTAACAAGTAACAATCTCTCTGTTTTATTTCAGTTATACATAGATCCAGCAAAATTGCTACCTCTACAAAGGTTTTTGCCTAAACCTCCTGTTGAAAAAAAGAAAAGATCTAGAAAAACGGGAGCAGGAGGAGGTGATGGAGCAGGAGGAAGTGGAGGAGCTGGAGGAAGTGGAGGAGGACGTGGTGGTGGTGGTGGTAGAGGTGGTGGAGGTGGTGGCAAATCATTTGGACGTGGTGGCTTTAAAAACAAAGGAGGTGCTTTTAGAACCGGTGGTGGAGGCGGAAGTGGATTCAAAGTTCGTGGAGGCGGCGGATTTAAGGGTCGTGGAAGAGGAAGACGATAGGATAGCGGAAAATTCTGCAATGATAGATGTATTGAGAAATAAAGCTATGTTAATTTCATACAAGAAGCCGAGACGACGTTGACCAGTTTAAATGAAATGAAGGAGAAAAATATAACTGAAATAAAGTAATAAATAAATTTATGTTCATCATTTTGTTAAATGCGAGTTATCATTATGAAAAAAAACGTATATTTTATATACAAGTATTAAACACATCTCATGAAATAACATTATCTCCATTATTACACTTCGTCAAATTTGATATGCTTCCCGAGTTCCTTCTCTGCCTTTTTCAATAGTTTTGTTCTTCCCCTCTGTTTAAGTCTAGTCTTCTTTCCCAATTTCTCTTCTCTATCAAGTGAAATTTTATTCCAATAATCTTGTTCATCTTCACCTGTAAATAAATCAAACGAAATTTATGTATGTATCAATAATAAACTGTATATAAAATAATATTACCTTTAAGTATCGTCATATGCCGCTCTTCATTAGATTTCTGTGCAAACGATTGGGCTGCTTCACTTGTATCACACCTCACGAAAGCAATGAAAGAACCCTCATTTATATCAATATATTTTACCGAACTATTGCCTTTTAGTTCCATCTAAGATAATACAAAACTATAGTGAGATCATCTTCATATTAATTCTGTTTCTCGCAATTATTCGAATATAACATACCTTAAACCCTTTCGTGTCAGTACACGGTTTATTCATTTCAATCTTAACTATAACTCCTGGAGTAAATGAGGGAGAGCGTGTATTATTTACAGTGTTCTCCTGCTTATTATTAGTTTTCTCTTTCTCAGTAGCCTCATCTTTTTCTGGTTTATTTTTCTCATGATTAGACCACTGATTCCATCTTGGTTTTCTGAGATGCTGTTTTAGTTGTTTCATCTTGCTTTTCTGCAACTCTAAGTATTTATTTCTAAGATATTTCCACTCTTTCTTAGCCATCACCTGCAACACCATATTCATGCTAATATCCTCTGTTTTGCTACTCCTCTTGCGTTTCTTCTTCTTCTTCTTCTTCTTTTCATTTGTATCTTTTTGTTCATCCACGGTAGCAACCATATTATTTTCTGATACCATTTGCTTATTATCATTGGAATTTTCTAATACCTCTTTATCTAAGGACACGCTTCTCTTACATTTATCTGATTTCTTTAATATACCATCTACAATAACATCGTTCTGTGTCTCATTATTTTGTTTTACTTCATCAAGTTGCATATCAGTAGAGGGTTCAAATTTTCTCTTAAGGTTTGTGACTTCATTGTCTGCTTTAACTACTACTGGTAACTCTATACTTTGATGTTTCCTTTTTCTCCCTTTTTTTTGGTCTTTGTTTTCATGAAGCTCAAGAGACTGATTCAGTGTTATATTTTCTTCATTATCTTTAAGAGTTTTATTTTCAGTTTCGGCACATTCCGATTCACTCGTGTTAACAGTATTCTCCATAGATCTTTTGGTTTCATTTGGCTTGATTTGCCTTCCCTTCATTGTCACATCTTTATCAGCATCATCAAAAGTTGTAATACTTAAAAGTTCATCAGGAGTTGTATGCGATGGTAATACGCAACCTTTTTCCTGGAAAGCCTATAAGAGAACACTACATGAACAAAATTATTGCTTACAAAGTGAATTATTAATGTTCATTTCTTGTACCTTTAGACACTTTGTAGCACTTTCTGGTGTATCAAACTCCACAAACGCAAATCCTTTTATTTTTTTGGTTTGCTTGTACCTTGGAACTGAAACATATTCTACTGTACCATATGCAGAGAATATTCCACTTAACATCTCATGGTCTGCATCTGGTGGTAAATTTTGTACATAAACTGTACATTCGTCTGTATTTTCTTTGACCATAATTGGTGTTATACGACGAACTTTTGTTCCATCTTCAGATGTTGATAACATTGTTGATGATTGTATTGCTTTATTTATTCTATTTATATCAGTAGTTAATTCCCGTATTTTATTAAAGCTGACGAAAACATTGAGGTCAACATCTATAAAAGATGAAACAGATGTTAAAAAATATGAATATATTATACATAAACTTGTGTATACATGAATTCCATAATGCTTACATGGATCATTATTAATTAAACTGCTCAAGAACCGATCTTTGCTTAAACTTGCGTCACTAAAATAAAATTCCATTTGTTTCAAAATTGCAGCATGCAATGCTTTCTTTCTAAGTCTAGGTTTTCCTCGTGAAACATTTGTAACATTATTTACTGTTTCTACATGTGAATCTTCTACTGTTTTCTGCACTTGAGGCACAGGAACTCTTTCCGAATCTAGCTCCATATCTGTCTGCTGCTCTTCCATCACCATTGTCGCTCACGAATCTGTAGAACTGTAGTATTATTAGAAATGTTTTCTTCGATTATTTTATCAACACCTGCAAATTTGTTACAAATATAAATTTTATATGATTGTTCCAAACTCCAAATACTCGTACCTCTGCCTTTCTGTGTTTAACCAAAATAATTTCTTCTTTCCTAAAAGCTTTATATTCAAGTTATTATGAAAAATCTAAATTTCTTGCTGAGACGATCCAAATCGTAGATCTTTCCCGGTCAAAAGCAGTTAAGCAAGAACAGAGAAAACGAGAATTGTTGAGAATAACGAAAACCCACATTCAACACTGCTTAACATTAACTGACACAGACTGGCACTAATATCATCCAACAACCCAACCCTCGTAAACGTACAACCATAAATCATGTAATTTATAATATTTATCTGGGGTTATCTAAGAACTTCAAACTTATAGGGAATTTTTACCTTCACTAAAAAACTGATCGAAAATCTATAATATTTTAATCCTTGGCTTTAAATAACAATGAACTTAAAATAGCATATTATGTCATATAATATATATTAGTAAAAAACGTAAACTAAATAAGGTCTTGAATCTTAATACGCACATACACTTTGAATTTTGTATCATGTTCCGTTCTTCGGCCTATTAAGTTTATGGTAGACACCTTGGCACATCTATCATCAGTGAAGTGAGCTGAAGTGAATCTGCTCTTTGCTCTGCTCAAAATCCTCGAGTCATTCGTTGATTCGTATGTTCGGTTAGAATTGAGTGAGTACAGATCATTGTGAAATAATGGATGAAATGAGTGTGATTGTGCCCGATAAGGTATACACATAGTCGTTTATAATTTATTTTGTAATTTTAGAAAAAAAATTAAAATTTCTATCTAAATTGCTACAGTTTATTCTAACCTCATTTTCTTACCAATTGAATTTATTTATATATTTCTGTTCGCTGTATCTTTGCTGTTTTGTCTATCGAGGCAACTGAAAATTTGTTTTCAAATTGTAGGATGTGACAGAAATGGATTGCAAACCCATAACTGGGCATTATACCGGCGGTGGAGACGAATTGGATATCGAAGATCTCTATACAAAGTATAAGGTAAAGAATATTGGTATTTTATTTTTGCTAAATTTACCATTAATGAGAATTTAGGGAATTTTAACAGAAATTACAAAGAATGCTGGAATTTCTTGAAGTTCAAGAAGAATATATCAAGGATGAACAACGGAACTTGAAAAAAGAATATTTACATGCCCAAGAAGAAGTAAAGCGCATACAGAGTGTACCTTTAGTTATTGGGCAGTTTTTAGAGGCTGTAGATCAAAATACTGGTATAGTAGGCTCTACTACAGGCTCCAATTATTATGTACGTATTTTGTCTACGATCGACAGAGAATTGTTAAAGCCTTCAGCCAGTGTAGCACTTCACAAGCACAGTAATGCCTTGGTAGATGTTCTACCACCAGAAGCTGACTCGAGTATTTCTATGTTGCAAGCAGGTACTAACTTATAAGACAAGAGATTAAGGAAAAGTCTGATAAAATTATTTGCTTACATCGTTTCTTTTACAGATGAAAAGCCTGATATACAATACAGCGATATCGGCGGTATGGATATGCAGAAACAAGAGATCAGGGAGGCAGTAGAACTACCTCTTACTCATTTTGAACTATACAAACAAATTGGAATTGATCCACCCAGAGGTGTACTCATGTATGGTCCACCAGGGTGTGGTAAGACTATGCTTGCAAAGGCTGTGGCTAGGCACACTACAGGTGCTAATTATAATCTTAATTTTATACAGCCTCGATATACGCATATTACGAAAATTAACTTAATTGATTCCTGTTTTTTAGCTGCATTTATTCGCGTAGTAGGCTCCGAGTTTGTACAGAAGTACTTGGGCGAAGGGCCTAGAATGGTCAGGGACGTCTTCCGTTTAGCCAAGGAAAATTCACCAGCTATCATTTTCATAGATGAAATTGATGCTATAGCCACAAAAAGATTCGATGCTCAGACCGGAGCCGATCGTGAGGTGCAGCGTATCCTGTTGGAGTTACTTAATCAAATGGATGGTTTCGAACAGACGACTAATGTAAAAGTTATAATGGCTACAAACAGGTGAAGCTTTAATTTTGACTGTGTACAGTTGTATTATCTTTGGTATGTGTATATCATGTAGAAGCTTAATAATGACAATTAATCTTTCCCTGCTATAGAGCGGATACGTTGGATCCCGCTTTGCTGCGTCCGGGCAGATTAGATAGGAAGATCGAGTTCCCTCTGCCCGATCGTCGACAAAAGCGTCTGATCTTCTCAACGATCACCGCAAAAATGAATTTGAGCGAAGAAGTGGATCTGGAGGATTATGTCGCACGACCAGATAGAATTTCTGGCGCTGATATAAATGCAATTTGTCAGGAAGCAGGAATGCACGCGGTTCGCGAAAACCGTTACATAGTTTTGGCGAAAGATTTCGAGAAAGGTTACAAGAATAACATTAAAAAAAGCGAATCCGAGCACGAATTCTATAAGTAAGAAGAAGAAAATATACTCTCGCATCGCGTTTTTATATTTTATGGTTCCACTTGTGAGTTCATGTATTACTATGATCTAATAATCAATATATGTTTACACAAACATTTTGGGTGTTATATACATACTTATGTAACGCGGAATACTAGAAATTACCCCAAAATTATTCCATATGAATACATACATAAAATACACAGTATTTTGTATAGCGTGTATGCGTGCTGTGTGCCTTTGTTTTATTCTCCCTGATCTTTAATTGATTTGTATTTCCTTAAATATTTTAATCTATAGTTTAATCGTCATCTATTTGTTATGCAATTATACAATTGAAAACAATAACATTGTTCGAATGAATCTGTTGCAAATAAATTGATTGAGTGTATCCTAGTCTAGCTGTTTTAATACTGAAAACAATAATAAAATAACATAATTACTATGGATTACCTACTATAGAATGTTAGGTATTTAATAATATTGATATAGGAGGCAAGTCTTATTTTTTTAGTCATTCTTTGTTAGAATAACGACTAATTGCATAAAATACAAATTAATTAATATCGATAATAGCTATAAATTGTCGACGCCAACGCATTCTATGGGTGAGTGAGGGAAGGAGCATAACACGCAATGAAACCACAATCGTCTCGCAGATGGCAGTACTTGGCATGTACTCGTGGTCAAAAGTCGCAACTCGCAATCGTTGATCGATCATCAGTCACTCAGTTAACTTCAGTTAGAGTTAATGTGACATCGAATACATCGAACGACGAACGATTTATCGCATTTATTTTTTTCTCTGATCACTTGGTTCACTGATCAGTGACCAGTACCATACTATCATACCGAATTCTACCAGAATTGTACTGAATTAGCCGACTAATTTAGACTGACCGGTATTTCTCTAAAATAAGAAAAACCCAGAATCTAGAACACAAAGGGTTATGAAATAGAGAAAATCACGTCCATTTAAAACACGCTATTATCCATGTTTTATTACAAGGTATAAATGTCGCTGTACACCAAATAAAAGTGATTAATTTCCATGTACATGGTATAGTACGTGTTTGCAGCGACCATTCGATATAAATATAACCTAACTCGAGGAACAGTAAACAATTTCTGTTGAACCTTACAATTTAAATTATAAGGTTATTTACTACTGCAATTGTAAATATATTTCTTTCGTATAATGAGTTGGCCTAGATTGCTGATTGTAAGCACAGAGAAAGGAAAGGGGGTTGCTCACGAAATTGCTACGAGTAAGTTTTGACTTTGGGATTCTGTTTTGTTATTATTTCAATGTCATAATGAGATTTTATTATACGTACAGTATAATTGGTTACTATAAATATTATCGCTATAGAATGTCTTGCACATCCAATTGTTACTCAATTTTTGTTTTTAGAAATGGGTGGTCAGAAATTTTGTAATCAAGAAGGTCTAGATTACTATTCATGGCATATCGATAATAAATATTATGATGTAACAGTATCAGTTTGTGTCACAGAAAGTCCAACTCCAAATATTAAACTCGATGATATACAAGCCCTTATTGTGCACCATAATCCACAAGCAGTAAGAAATTTCATTCATAAAATGAGCTGTCGAGAGAATGGATGATATTCAACATTGATTTTCTTAGGAAGGTGCGGATGAAAATTTAAGACAATGGTTACCTTTAATCAATTCTTTAGCAGACGCAGGAGTACTACTGTTTTCTTGCAATTTTATAACAGATGTTCGTATAAGAAACGAAGGTAAAATATGTAACATTTCGCATGGAGTAGAAGCACTATTATGTTATTAGGGACTAAGAACATGTTATATATATTTTAGTAATAAGGTGGTGTCTAAAGAGAAAGTTTGAATTGATCGAATTCAACAGACCGGAAGTAGATACTGCAGAATCTGACCTAGATCACAATAAACACGGCATTGAGAGAATGATCGAAGCTTTACACGCTCATATGTGGCCTAGTATGACACTGAAAGGTTTTTATATTTTATAGCTGAATGTAACTTGAAAAATATTTCTTTTTAAATTAATTTAACTCAATTTTTTTAGCCAAACCATCAAGTACTGAAACAACAAACATCGACTTACACAAAGTGGAAGAACAGTTTAAGAATATTAAACTTCCACGAGATTCTACGGAAAGATTACCAATGGAAAACGTGCTGGGTCAGTAAGGAGAAAACTTGTTACAAAAGATGGTATTAGTTCAGCTGATGATTAGATTCTTTCCAGGTGGAATTATGGGAGAAGAAATCGCAGATTTTGGTGAATTTTTGAGTCAATTAAAGGCTATGAAAGATCATGCAGCATCAGTGCCAACAAATCAGAGGCAACTTGTGGCAGAACAGTTAGTCACAGCTTTCTGGAAAGCAATGGGCGGTGATCCTTCGGAAACGGAATTAGATTAATTCGTGCATTAATTGTGTAATGGAAATGGGTTCCCATTCAACACGCGTAAACGCTTTAAATAGACTTTATTTTGATAAATCAGTTAAAAATGAGATTAAAAATAAAACCAAGCATTGTTATAGTTAAAATTATAGCAGTTATAGATAACTGTAAGATTATAATAAATGTAAGGGCAGTAAGATATTTCAGTTCATAAAATTGTGCACATCTATTAAATATTGTATTTTTGTTTCAAATATTGCCGCACATTTTACATTTGTAATTGCTGTACAGTGCAGTGTATGTATGTAAATACACACATGTGTAAGCATGCGCACTTCGTCTCTGTTCAATCTGGTGTATGTACATATTGGCAACCATGTTTGAGCCGGATGCACAAGCGTCTATAGTTGCCGGCCTGCGGTTTAACTAAAATGTCTAACGCTTTTCACGTAGTGGTTCCGTTTGACTTGACCGTGTACAGGAACGGGAACGTAGAAGTGGAATTAAAAAGATTCGTTTGGCTAAAAGATTCTGTCCGTGACACGCAAGATACATCGTTGTTCTTATCTCGGGCAGTATGTATTCGTCAGTCACTTAGCGCTCGACACGAAGTGAGTTACCAAAACACTATAATACTTCATTTGCCCTTTCGATACTTTTTAATATTTCAAGTTCCATTAGATTTTGCGAGCACTGACATTTTTACGAAATTTTACTTATAGTACACATCTTTTCCCCAACTGTGCGAGGTGCGCAAAAAAATTGAGAATTTGTTGGTTCTTGTATTCTTTGCCACTTTCTGGGGAAACACATATACTAATCATCTGAATGTTTCAATGTTTTAATCTTTCATCTATTGACCAAATCGATTGTATCAGTATCGCGATAAATTTCTAATTCGGTTACACGGTATTGAAATTATTCTAATCAATGATCGTGTAGGCTGTGTAACTGTCCAACATAGTGAGTGAATATATGTTTGCGCGCGCGCGCACTCGCATGTGTATGTTTGTGTGTGTGTGTGTATGCGTGAAGATTGAATGTATATCTGAGGTGCATTCACATTCTATAAAAGTGAGTTCCCGTTTTTTATGAAACATTTTGTATTTAAAAAATGAAGGAGAGATGAATATTTGTGGGTAATATGATTGCTTTTGAAAGATTAGACAATAGTAAATAATATACTTTCTGTTTTGTAGAGTCTGATGTTTATCGAGCATGAAAAATAAAACTTTTGTACGTATATAATAGTTACTTGAAACAATCAATGTGTGCATGATAAAATAAGAATTTGTCAATGACAGAAACAGATACGGTTGATTCTCTTCAAGGTAATGTTTTCCTCTGTCTTAGTCAACACTGTTAATGTATTATTATCTGTATTTTCAATGTATTATGTTTCTGTACGTAGAAGAATCAAAAAAGAAAACTGTTGACACAATGTCACAGTCGGAGGATGTTTATGCTCCAGAGGAACCAACACCAGACATTCCGATATCCTTGCTTGATATACAAATGCCAGAAACACCAGAAAGTACAAAAGGTCAGACCAGTGATGGAGATATGCCCAGGTTGGAAAGTCCCAGACTGCTTAAGCCTGTACTAGGGAAAGTGCAAGCCAAAAAGAGGTTGATGGCATTTGTCAATAAGTTCAATGTCCTACCGAAGGTTCCAAATAAAGCTGCATTACTTCAAGCACACTCTGCTAAAGTATCCAAGACTAAATCAGGAGATGAGAAATCTTTGCAAAATGATTCGAGCACAAGTTTAAACATAGACTCAGACTCTGCACAACATTTCCATAGTCGTCATTCTAGCGGTGGTAAATCTAAGAAAAAAACAGGTATTGTTTATTGAATTGAACTGGGTGCCTTTTACATTTATACATCAAGATCTTTGTGAAACAAACTGTCACTAATTCGTTGATATTATTGTACAGAAGAAAAAATATTAGCTATTGAAGAAATTAGGAGAGAAGAGTCTAAAAGTAAAATGCTATTGGCAGAAGCTATGGCTGCAGGTATTTAATGGCACACAGTTTGAAGCTATAAATACTATTTCAGTGTAGGCAATGATTACTTTACTTTACAGCTAGCTTAGAGGATGAGAATTTTGTCAGTAAGAATAGTCAGAATTTATTAGAAAGTGTAAAAAGCATAAGAGAAAGAAATAAACAAGATGACAATGTGTCTCGTAAAAGTGGTTCAAAAAAGACGACAGAGAACAAATATTCTGAGAGGTATGAAAATTACTGCATTCTTTGTAATTGCATTTTCTTGCGAGTGGATAATGTCTACCATTTTTTTTTTCAAGGAGACGGTATGGTAGAGAAGAACGAAAGATAAACAGGGAATCAAAAGATTACAATGGCGGTAGAGGACGACATTACAAGGATAGGGATCAGCGTAGGAAAGAAAAAGATAAGAAAGACGATAAGAATAAACGAGACGATGCCAGTAGATATGAAGAAAATCGGGATAGAAGAGAAGACGAGAGAGATCGAAAAGATGACGAGAAAGATAGATGGGAGGAAGTGAGGGAGAAAAAAATAACAAAAGAGAAACGAGAAAGCATTAGAGAAAAGAGGAGCCTTTCGAGAGAGAGAAGTTCAGAAGTTAGAGATAAGAGAGAGAAAGAGAGAGACAAGGACAAAGGAAAAGAAAGAGATATAATGAGTTTGTCTTCATGGTTGGAGCTGAAAAAGTGTGGTATAACGATAGATGACATTATAGACATCAGAAAGCGCGATTACTCGGACCGTTCAACAAAGAATAGGTTTGTTATTAAGTTGAAAACATTTCATCAAACTTAAAACATACATACGATGTAGTGCAAAATAAAACTGTCTACGAAATAAATATCAATTACAGAACAGCCGAGGACTACGTTCGTCATTTTGACCAAATGCTGCTGTTAAGTGACTGTCGTTTAAAACGATATGCTTTCACTGCTGAGGGACTGGACGGGCCTAAAGAGTACCCGCCCGAGTCAGTGAAAATGACGAAAAGAGGAAGACCTCAAGTGCTTTATGCAGAGAATCCTCGCTTGTCACTCTTTCTAAGTCACGGACAGATTCTACAGATTGTCGCCAGCGACCGTCGCGAGAAAATCCGGGAGATATGTGAAGCGGATATTGCACGGTACATCAAAATGTTCTCCATCTCTCAACTTTCCTTTACCCATTCAGATCTTAACAATTCCAGAGACACTGCAGAGGTTACCAAGAAGCCTGCACGTGTTCGTAACTGGTATCCAAAAACAGGCTTATGCAAGGACAGCGAAAATGTCAAATGGCAGTTCCCTGTCAACGTGCAATTGCCTAGGTCAAAATGGGACAGCGAGGATGAGGATAGGTTGTCCAACGATGCGGAGCCAGAAGAAGAAGAGAGTGAAGTGAAATCAAACAACGTAGACCGAGGTATAGTCATTGTTTGATTCTCCGTGGTGTGGTTTAGTATTCGCTTAATCCATGATATTGAATTCAGGTCAGGAGATACTTTCTTCGCGTTCCAATGTACTGGAAGAGGAGGCTAGAAACGATAAGAAAAGCATCAACGAAAGCACTGAGCCTTCCATCGCTAAGGATGTTAACAGTGACAATAGACAATCAACGTCTCCGTTGCTACAGTCTGCGGGTGACGAAAAACTAGCGTCGGAATATGAGCAATTTATGAAGATGGTTTGCACCGAAATTCCAACGTCAGAGGAATTCTCTCCCAAAATGGTTTCAACAAAGTCCACTACGCCATTGAGCTACCACGATTTCAACATAGAGACTAATTTACCAGAAGACAATAACTTCGCGTTTGTAGAACGCAATGAGAACCCAGAAAAGAGTAATGCAGGCAAAGAAGAAACGCTCAGTAGTAAGGAGAACCGTCAGAACATTGAAGTACCAGAAGTTGAAGACGACCAAGTATCTTCAACCAGTTCTCACATTCAAGTACAGGAACGTGAAGCAGCGGATGAGAAGAGCGAATCTGATGATTCTAGATCGATTCCTAGCGATTGGGAGAACGTTCGAATCAAAGTAGAGTGTTTGAGCGATGAGAATTCAGATTCAAGGGAAATACGGAAGAAGAAACGTCGGAAGAAGATGGCTTCCAGTAGCGAGTCATCCAGCACGACCAGTTCGTCAGACTCCGAGGAAGAAGTGAAGAAAAGAAGGAGAAAACGGAAACTGTCGGACGATTATTCCAGTGCGTCAGATTCCAATAGCAGCAGTAGCAGTAGCAGCGATTCATCTAGTTCAGATGACAAACGGAAGAAGAGGAGAAAGAAGAAGCGGAAGGCTGAAAAAAGAAAGAAGAAGGCGAAACGAATAGCCAAGACGAAGAAGAAGCGGAAAAGAAAAGTCAGCGTTGACTCTAGCAACAGTGATTCGTCCGATCACCAGAAAAAAAAGAAAGCGGCGAGTAAGAAGATCAAAGAGAAACGGCAACACGTCGAGAAAGAAAATGGGAACGAAGATATAATTAAAGCAGTAGAAAATTCACCTTTGCAGCCTTCCTCGCCGATGAAGAAAATTAAGGAAGAAAGGAAAGTCGAGTCTAGAAAGAGGTCCGCAGAGAAACACGATATTTGGAACAAAGAACAGGAACTGATGCGAAACGTTATTTCCGATGATAGTAACAAAGCTCATAAAGATGAAGAGAAAAGGAATAAAACCGAGGAACGATATTTAGAGGAATGGGAAGTAGATTCTGTGATAATGACGCAACAAAAGGGAGAGAGGCTCGCAAAGAGTGGCATGGAGAAAATTGAGAATGTAGAGGATGATTTTCGAAAGGTAGATAAGAAAGATGAACGGATCAAGAAGGAGGGAAGAGGCAAGAAGGATGAACGCTTGAAAGAGGAGTGTTTGGGTATTTGTAAAGAGATTGTACAACCTGGTACCCATATCGAGGAAGAGATTGACTCAAAAAAGAAAAAGAAGAGAGATAAAGAAAAAAAAGGAAGCAATGAATTTTTAGCCGATTGGGAGAAACTGGAGAAACAGAAAAAGGAAAAATGGGGAGAAACTGAATTTGATACACTGAACGTACTGTCTTTGACCCAACTTGAGAGAGAGGTGAGCAAAAGACAGTTGTTGGCAGACGAATGGGAAGTCGATAGCTTGGAAGCTGTGCCGGATATACTGGTTAACAAGAAGAAGTCTGCACGCAGTTCGAAGAAAGTAGAAAAAGAGGTTCGCTATGACAAGAAAACAGACACGTACATTTCGGTAGATAAAGAGACTTCTAGGGAATGCAAGAAGAGACAGGACAGACTGTCGGCGATGAGAATCTGGGAAGAGGAGCAAGAAGAAGGCGAACGAGAAGCCATGCTCATGGAACAGAAAAATAAACGGAAAAGGGATGACTGGGACATAGAGGAGGATACCTATTTGCGTGAGAAAGGGGAACGCAAGGAGGACATAGAAGAAAATATATCCACGATTGATAGCATTCAGAAGGATATAGATGCTACCGTCGGTGATGTGGATGTTTGTATGAAACAAGATACAATCGCTGCTAAAAAAGGCAAAAAGAGTCGCTGGGATATAGCGTCGCAAGCTGAGGAGAAGATAGAGCTCAAAGCTCCTGTTATGTGGGAAGAGGAATGTGCCGAATGGACAAAGCTAAATAAATTTGACCGTAAAAGTGATAAGCTAGAGCGTGGTGATATCACCTTACCTAAAGCCAAAATAAAAGATGAAGACGTTGATCAACAGTCAAGGAAGTCTGCATCGAAGGGCTCAGATTTTATTGATTTATTTTCGAGGAAGTCTCAGGATGACCTACTGGAGACGTCTTGGACCTCGGAAGAGCACGCAAGAAGCAAATCACGTCAGAAAAGCGCGGAAAGCAACTCTCAGAGAGATGCATTCTTCAACAAGGAACAGATCCCTCTAACGAGTATAAAGGAACCACAAACTGCCGAGAAATTGAAAGATGTGTTTGAAATCGACGTAAAATTAGCTACAAAAAATGTAGAATTGTACAGCCCAAGTTCTCCAGCACCGTCTCAAAAGTCTGAGGTATTTATACTGCTGTCTATAACTTATACGTCGCATATTTATCGTAAGTAAGAATCCATCCAAAAAACCATACAAACACACAGCTCCTAATAATATAGTTTATGATCAGTTACTACTATGTTAATAATTTGTATGTTTCAGGATGTGGAACAGTTTGGGAATGACAATTCAAGTTCTTTAAATCTCAGAGAAAATTTGAACCAAGACAAGTTGAAGAGAGAAAGTTCTGTAATTGACGAGGACTCTATTCCGAATATACCTCTCCAACTTAAATATCGAGAAGGAAAGTATTCGAAGTCTTCTATGATGAAGGAAGAATTCGATGAGATTCTAGGAATGCACATAGACGATCAATCATCGCAGAAGATGTTCTTGGGAAAAGGCGCTGAGACATCTCTCGCCGACCTCCCTATCAACGAACCGTGTCCTGATATTAACAGCTACAAACCAATGCGGATGGATATATTCGCTGAATATGAATCTGACGAGTCACGTAGCAAGTTGAGTACCAAGAGCGCTGAGGCGGTGGCATCCAATAGTTCTAAAGGGGAGGAATCTGCAGAGGGAAAAGCAGCTTTGAAGCTAATCCCTAAACAGCTGCTTATACGTCGCAACAACGAGCGTGTAAAGACAAAACTGATCTCGGACGATCCTATACAACATGCTGCTGCCCTCCTGACGATCCAGAAGAAGCTTCGAGAATCCCATGCTGTGAGGAATGACATGCAGAATGTGTCTTGCGAAGATCCTGCTAGCGAATTCAAAATTGAATCCGAGAAGATGGCCACCATAGAGGCGACAATTGCTAATATTGTTTCTGTCGAGCAGACTGTCAATACAGATGTTAAAATGGATTCCAAAGATTTATCTGTGACAGAGAAAACATTAATTATAACTACATCAGAATCATCAGGAACCGTGAAGCTTGATTTTAACCACAGCGAAGAGTACAAGTCTAACGAGAAAGAGAGCAGCAAAGAGGAGGAGCTGAAAAAATCTAGGTTCAACGTTAAGGACATCGGTGATACCGAGACTCCGGTTAAATCGCCTAGCAGAGAGCAAAGGAAGAGAAGTCCGAGTAAGAAGGAGAGCGAGAAACGAACCAGCGATCGTAGTAAGGAAAAGAGGGATAAGAAGTTTGATGATAGAGAGAGGAGTGAAAGAAGAGACAGTAGAAGTTCGAAGCAAGATTACCCTGAGAAAAGGAGATCCAGTCCATCGAATATTCGCAGGAGACGGAGAAGCGTCAGTCCACGGACATCTTGGGAAAGAGAGAGAAGTCGCAGCGATAGCCACAGTCGTAGTTGGAGTAGAAGTAGAAGCAAGAGTCCAAAGAGGAAAGACGGATCTTTCTCGAGTCGAGATAAAAGAAGTAACAGACTCGACGAGGAAAGATGTAGGTCTAAAACAGACGACAGGAGGGAAAGGTCCAACAGAACTCCTCCCAGGTCTAACACTGCCTCGTATAATAAAGGTTGGTGTAATAATAAATTATATATCCGTGACACTTACTAACATTATATTATGTATTTCTAGATCACTTCAAAAAGTATGGTTCTTCCAAAGACCGAGATGATTGGAACAGAAGAAAGTATGGCTCTATGGAAAGAGACAGAGATAAGGACGGAAGACCATACGATCCCATGGAGGTTTTGAGAGAAAGGAACATAGATGTCGATAGGAATAGAGAAGGTAGATTTCGAGGTGATGAGACAGACAGATCCTACTGGCCCTACGAATCTGAAAATATCCTACGAGATGGGAACGAATCGTTGGAGTCCTATCCCAATGGTCAAGATTTGGATCTTGACTATGAAGAAAAGATCTATTATAGAGATGACAGTATTGAAAGGGATATCATGGAAGGTCCTCTTCGATCCGCATCTAAGTTCACACCGCAAAGGTAACTTGAAACTGTTCTATACAGGTGAATTCATCTGCGCGTCCACTATAACTTCCACCTTTTTAATAGACGAAGCAAATCTAGCTCGAGAAGGGAGAGACAATGGGAGAAAGATAGAGAGTCGGTAGATTTAGATAGACACGGTCACCCTAGGAGACCAGAAAAGCAGGTCTCGCTAAGAGGTCGTTCTCCTCGACCAAGACGTTCTTCGCCGAGGCTGTCCCACGACCGTTTCAGACGTGGATCGAGATCCCGGTCCAGATCATGGTCTAGATCGAGATCTAGATCTAGAACACGGTCGCGTTCTCGATCAACATCGAGGTCCAGGTCAATGCGATCGAGATCACGATCAAGATCCAGATCAGGATCACGATCGCGGACCAGATCCACTTCAGGGTCCAGACTAAGGAGCCCGGATCATGGTTTAAGGATGGCAGAACGATTGCGCTCGTCCAGGTAAATGTTAAATGACTGTCTGGTATCGTCGGTTGTTGCCCGCGTTGGACAGTCGGTAAGCAGTCTTACTGTCAATCCAGATCACCCTCTGTGGGACGAGGCAGAGTCGGCGAAAGCTCGAGGGAAAGGAAGGATGAACACGATAATAGAAAGCTAGATAACTGCGGCGAAAGGGGTAGACGCATTGAAACGATCGTTCAATCTGTTTCCGGGCTGGCTAGAGACTCAGCCGTGTTAAACACGGAAATGCACATGGCTGACAATATGGAGACGGTCGCGGCTGGTTTCCAATATCCTAACGAGAACGAAGTTGGAAACGAGTACTATTATAGCGAGAATAACTTGACCTATCCTCCGTGCATTGACGACTCAGCTACGAACTCGCCGAAACGTTTGTCCCTCGACGATAGGTAACACTCCATCATTGAATCGTGTTCACAAGCTTGGTCCTTGGACACCCTTCCTTTCCACTGCTTCCCCAAACCTGCACGACCGCTGATACCAATCATGAGACAATGCAGTACTTTCATAGCGTCCTCTTACTGTCTGAATAACTTTTGGGAGGGTACAAGGAGGAGGGTACAAGATACTTTTCCCGTCATTGCTTAGTAACTTTTAATATCGAGTTTGCAGAAAATTTTATCCTAGCAATGATACGAATCAGAGGCAAGAAGGCCATTGATTAGGAAGGGCACTATAGGAGTAGTTAGAGGAATTCGATGTTTTTTTAATTTCTGTGTATTCTCTACATTAATAGTTCGTATCGTAGGTTGGAACTCGAACTAGGAATTAAAAAGCAACAGGACAGTGCAGGAGTGGCCTCTGATTATCCTGATAACTTTAATTCTACTGTCTGCTATCCATCCTCACCTCAGCAGCAACAGCAGATGCTCTACCGTCAACAACCTACGGTGTTACAAGTATAGCATTTCGATTATTTTAATAAAATAGTGTAATGCGCGACCGCTTATAAGTGAAGTTAACCATTACAGGTGGGCAACGTGTTGCAAGTCGTGCCAGCAGATTTCAATGGAGTCCCGACAACGCACAGAGAACCTACGAGTTCTTCAACGGCTCCGATAGTGAGAGGTTCCAGTCAGGTAGTACGTGTAGGTAATGTCCTGCAAGTAGTACCTATGTCATTAGATTGGAGTGGCGGACAGCCCTCGTCGGTGGAGCAACCAGGAGGGATAATGTACTCCGCGGCAGTTCCACAGCCTTCTCCAGTTCCATCAGCCTCTATATCCGTACCTGTTCCAGTTCCTGTACCCATGCCCGTGCCTGTACCCTCTATAAGTTCATCCACGCCTGTGCCTGCACTGTCTCCGGTCGCATTGCCACTTTCCGTTCCTGTACCGGTCCCCGGACCTGTTCCGCTGCCTGTGACACCAGCGACGTTCCCTAGAACCGAAGTACCAACGCCGAGTAAGAAATTTAAAAACTACAGTCTAATTATAAAGTGTACCATCTTCTAATAACTGATGCTAATTTCGTAACTTCAGAAACACCAGTTCAACCGGTGTACAACTATGAAGTGATATTAGAAACTCGACGCAAGGAAAGGGAGGAACGCAAGCGATTGAGGGAGATGAGAAGGAAGGAGAAAGAGCGTAGACGGATAGAGAGAATCAACCGACGCGCACTTCGGATGTTAGAGAAGAGTACGCGTCAGACTGACAGCGGTCAATTAAAGACTTCGAGTCTGGATCCTGCAGTGTTGAAAGCTCTTCGTGAAACGGATGAGCAAGTCGAAACGGAAGAACAACCTGTCGCTGTAACTTCTGAGAAAGAAGAAGATGTATCCGTTGCTGCATTATCTGCTTCAACAGAGGAGGAAGACGTGCCTGTTGATGACGATGAAGAGGAAGAAGAGGAGGAAGAACCCGAAGTGGAGGACGACGAGGAAGATGAAGAGGACGCAGAAGAGGATGAAGAAGAGGATGAAGAAGACGAGGAAAAGTCGTCCTCAAAGATGACTAATCGACGCAGCGAAATAGACGATACTGTTGTACCGACGACTTCTGAAACGAGCAAAGTCCACATTGAGACGGATTCGAAAGATTGGCCGGAATTACCTCCACCTCCTCTTAAAGGAATCTTAGTCGCTCCAGGTTTCAGGTAAGCTTTTTGCGTCTTTACAGTAAAGCTTATTCCCTTGTATCATTATATTTCACTGTTGCATTGTCATTGTAGGAGATCTTTGGTACCTAATGGTAATCTAGATGATCTATCCACCCCTGAAAATGAGAGTGACGACAGTGCAGAGAGAGAAGGAGCGGACACAGACAAAACCAATGAGTGTAGTAAAGAGGAGATCGGTGAGAATAAGTTGAGCAAGTCGAAGGCTCAAGTCAAAACCAAGTCAAAATTGCTAAAGCTGAGCATGAGGAAACAGAGGAGCAAGAAATCAGTTCAATTCGCGGACGGAATCAAGCCAGGAGAGGGTACGAGTCCTAGTGGAGGTGAAGGGGACATGCCATCTCCTCCGCCTCCTACAGCTGCGATCACTCGGGACGGGGTTCGCGAGGTACGAAGATCTAGTTCCAGAAAGAGCAGGAAACAGGAGAAGAGGAGTCGACCACCCAAGGCCAAGAAAAAAGTGAAGGTATGTTTGCGTCGTTTTATAATTTTCCGGTTACAGAAAGTTTATTAATGAAGTTGATTAATGTGCTAGGTGAAGATTATAAAACTGAAGAAGCCACGCGTCACGCCCTTAACGGCGATGATGATGGACGACTCGGATGAGTTGGATGACCGCTCTCCGCCACCACCGCCAGCAGGTTCTCCACCACCGCCACATCTGTGGCCCAGCTATCTTTCAGCTTACAATTCTATCACTCGACCCAGCGAAGCTCAATCTACATCGTCTGCAGTTTCCAATGCTGTTCAAGCTCCTCCACCACCCACGCCCTTGCCTCTTCTAATTCCTCCACCTCCTCTAAATTATACGATACAACCTTGTAGCAAAGCATAGGACAGTACCGTTCAATGAGCATTATGGGGCTGCTACTTACTTCGTTAAGTCAAGCCTCCCATTCTATCTTCTTTAAACGTCGGGTCACCAGGATTAGCAGTTTCTGCAGCATCGAATAATTGAGATGTTTATTTTGGTGACATCACGATTTATGGAGAGGCGTTGAATCCTATATAAATGCAATAGAGCGTATAAAGGGTGATACAATCATTCAAAGGGTCCCACGGATGGACAGCGCTAACGTTAGATGTTTTTTTACAATCGTCCTCTGGTGCTAATCCTCGGCTAGTGTAATCTCAAAAGAAACTGCTTTAGGATGTAGCGCGAAAACATTGTTAACTTTTTGAATCATGAAAATCGTTATAATTGAGTTTCCAAGTATGGTTTACGATGGGGATTAGACTGATGGACACTACACTAGCTGCGGGTTAAGTTTCATGACTATAAATGGCCATATCACCAGATGGATTTAGATTAAACTTATTAAGCGAACAATACAAACTCGTTTCTCTATTGACAGGAAGGGAACGAAGCCTGTCGATAATTCTTGTCGTTACTATAACTGTATTCGAAGTAGCTTCCGAAATAGGGATTAGAAGATATTGAAAACACGGGGTATAGTATCAATAAGAATCATTTCGAGAGTATTGAGGTGGCCTTGATAGAAAGGCGTCATAAGACGATTGTATCCAAGCCCGAGACTTACGGGAAACGATGTATTATTAGCGATAAAGATTCTCATCATTCTCGCTTCTTGTAAATAGCTTTACTCTTCGTGTTCGTCGTCATCGAGAGGCGAAGAGTTCGCGCGCGACAGAATTGTCCATTGCGTCCAGGTCTCGACGAATTCACGTTACGTTTCATATATTTTCGATACGAAGAAATTAACAAAGATAGAGGGAGGGAGAAAGAGAGAATCGTGTACAATGAAAATTGTAAGCTTAACACGAGGTGTAATTTACAACGAGGGACTCGGAACTTTCAGACCGATTGTTAATAATAGCGATTACATTGTTAAAAATGTAACACGCAAGAGGCAGATTTATCATTGTATATTTTACTTTTGTAGTTTTATCACGGACTGTCTTCATGTTAGACATAGTTCAAAAATGGGTCTTAATGCAATTATCTTTCGTTTCTTTTTTTATCGACATGTTTATCAAATTTTCATCCTTTTCGTTTAATTGAATCCACAAATCAGTCTTAACACAATTATCTTTCTTTATCGACACGTTCATCGTACTTTATTTTTTTTCTTTTCATTTAATCGAGTCTACAAATCAGTCTGTACATATGTGGACAGATAGACTAGTATAAAATTTCGTGTTAATCGACGAGCAAGGCAAAATATTAAAACTGAGCTTAATCAGTCTAGTTCTTTGGAATTCTTATATTTCTTGTACATAATCTCGGCCGATCATTGTTTAGCGCGATCTTTTCGTTTCATTACGTGAATGTCTTTCTGCTTTACGCAAGACGACACATTTCCCGCCTTCGATCAGAAAGACGTTTAACTGCCCGTTAATTATCTGAATTCTCACGACTTTTTGAAAAGTGTCGATTTGTATTAAAAATAAACACTAATTCTTTTAATAACAGTCATGATTTTATTCTGAAGCACGCATGTACGTATAATATAGCATGGTCGAATAAATACGCCTCGATAACTATATATGTAGACGGAAGCTATCTCATTCAGTTCAAAAGTTAATCGGTCATGTAAAACAATCTTGAAGCAAGTGAGTCTCCATGATCAAAAATTGCAGCATATGGTTCAATATAATCAGACATTATTATAAATCAGTGCATTAATGCAACATTAATTTTTAATTATTCGTTCGAATTTCATCCAATTTTTGGTTAGATGAGGGAAATTTTGTGACTCATCTGATAAGGGAATCAGGCGTATTACAATGTTGCTTATCTAACGAAAACATTCTAACTTTTGAAGACAAAGTTGGTCGTAGCAGCAGCGATCAAAACGAACAAATATTAAAATTTCAAAGAATCTCTGAGAACTTGAGATGAAGGTGGCCATTGTTGGAGGTGGAGTTATTGGTTTAACGACAGCTTTGCAACTGCAGCGAGAATTACGCAATGCAGAAATTACTGTTTTTGCGTCGGATTTTGAGCATACCGTTAGCCATGTAGCTGCTGGAATATTTCGAATTGGATCATCTTATTCTGGGCCAACTGAACGAATAACAAGGTACATAAATTCTGATGCAGGATTTAACAATTTTTTAATCTTATTTGAATATTTTCATGCAAAATTCTTTTTTTAGAGAATGGATAGGGAACTCGTACGAATATTACGATGACCTACGGAAGTCGCATGAAGCTTTACAAGCTGGGGTGACCATGATTTCCGGTTACATGTTCTCTAATCTTTCACCGGAAACTGTTAAGGTAAGCGCAACATTCGAAGTTCTGTACAATTATGACTACATGTACTCAGAATATGAATGAATATTTCGTTGAAAATAGAGTCAATGGTTAGAAAACTTGGTGCCAATATACAGGAAAGTTACAGAAGAAGAATTTCAATTAGTCGGAGGCAATTGGAAATACGGATCGTTTTTGACGACTCTTCTTACAGATTGCAAACAGTATCTGCCCTGGGCTCGCAAAAAGTAACACATTTTCCTATAGAATAACATCAGTGTTTAACGTAAATATTGTATATACATTACCCTAACAGATTACAAGAGAGTGGGATCAAATTGATAGTAAAGAAAATGGATTCCCTGGTAGAACTTATTCCAGAGTGTAATCTAATTATGAACTGTACCGGTTTGGGTGCAAAATCATTGTGCAATGATAGACGACTCGTTCCTATACGTGGTCAGGTGATTAAGGTACTATCGCTTCAACATATCTCTTTTTCCCATTAAGACTCAGAGTTCAGGGATGTTTATTCTATGCCAATTTATAATATACACGGCTACAAACTGAAGAAAATGTGGTATAAATAAAAGAAATGACAAATTAATTATTACTATTACATGTTTGTCATTTGAGTCATAAAGAGATAAAAAAAAAAAGTAACAATGTGTGACATTCTGAAATTTCTTAGGTAAAGGCACCATGGATGAAAACGTTCTTTTATGGAGAATTAGACACTTACATTATACCAGGTTTCAATGGCGTGGTTACTCTAGGTGGTTCAAGAAGCTTTGACTCGGAGAATACAAAACTATGTCCTTACGAGTCAAAAGCAATTCGTGAACGATGTAATAAATTCATTCCAGCTCTCAAAAAGGCCACTGTCTTGCACGAGGAAGTTGGTTTGAGACCACACAGGGAAAATAATGTTAGAGTGGAAGCTGAGCACGTTACAAACGGACTCTTCAGGGCAATCGTTCGTTAAAGTTTCCATTAAATTGACTCTGAGATTTCATCGTCGTTAATCAAATTTGTGTTTATAGGTGATACATAATTATGGACACGGTGGATACGGAGTTTGCACCGCTCCGGGGACTGCTAAGTATGCTGTGCAATTGGCTAAGGAAGTGCACAAGTCCTCCGTTGCAAAACTATAATCGCAAATTAGGGGTTGCAAGAACTTTGACAATAATTAAAGGCGATCTCATAACCAGTAATCCAAGCGAGACAGACTGATTTCGTCAAATATAAAATTGGGTATTAAGTAGAAAAGTTGTTATCAATTAAGGAGTTCTCATCCTCTCATAATTGTTTGGCGTCTAACAGAAATAATCTTGTTTCCTCGGGATACGTCTGCAAGAAACCAATGTTCATGAATATATGCGGTTTATTATTAACGAGTTTACAGAAGAAAATCGTTAATATGCGCTAATACTGCGTGGTATTATTGATGTTAAGTCTCACGTGTAATACAATGCGTCTGTATTTCTCTGAAACATTAATGAAAGGTGGTTCCTTTCTTTGCCAAACAAATACATGGTATTTCACGGTGTCGTCTCATGTTTCTCTCATAATATGCTGCTACAACAAAAAGCAGAACTATAAGGGAACTCTTTAAAATGTCATTCGTCGTCTCTACACTCCCTATGACGATGCCAGCTCGACACGGTTACCTGGTGCTATCTTTCCAAGTAGACACCAAGATTCGCACATGCATTGTATACTCAATGGTAATACATTGAGGAGATGATGTTTAACAAACTCGAGAACATCTTTGCAAACTATCGTGTACAACTGCATGTCAAATGTTTGTTAAACGTGAATCGTTTAAATCGTATATCTCATGGTGACGAAGACCATCGAATTCCATTCATTTCTCGCTACTTCTTGCCAGGCTTCACGTTCTTCCTAGGTGGTGCGCCCCATCGAAGAGCACTGCTATCCACTGTCAGCCTTGGTCTCTTATACTGGCTACTTTTAATATGTTCCTCGACTAACTTCGGCGTTACGCAAATCACGTGTTGTCCCTTCCAATACTTCACCATATTCATGCTCTGAAGGGTTGATATGATGTCTGTTTGTGAAATACTCGTCATCTGGCTGTTTGTTAAATCGATGAAAATTACTTAGTTTTAACGTATTCACTGTATTCCGACACTTTTTACAATTGTATTGCATTCATTTCGAAATAATACCTCAAATCTTTAATGCTGAGAGTGCCGCGAAAATCTCTAAGGATTTCCAAAAGGATCCAACTCCAATAACTTCTGTAAGATAGCTTCCCTAAGTCACTCAATGGTTTTTCAGGACTTCCAACAGTCTGTTCTAATCTGCTTAATTCGTAACTGAAAGCGATCAAAAGTTTTCCATATCCTTGTCTCTGGAATGGTGGTAAAGTGAGAATGCATGCAACATTGTTTCCATCGGGCGATTCTTTTTCCTAAAAGTAAATTTGAAATTAATCTCCTAGAAACTAACGATGTGTAAAAAATATAGAAATGGATAAATTGAAACGTGCCTTAGAGAAGTATCCAACCAAGTGAGCTCCATGTTTGTCAACTTCGCACAGAATATAGAAAAGAAATGGTTCTACATCGAAATACAGAGTCTTATGGTCCAAGAACAATTTTGCCAACAGACATAGATTTTGACAATAAATCTTGTGTTCTCTGCCGTCGACTTCCCAAATGCTTAATGTACCTTTTCGGTAGATTTCTTTTCCAACCGGTTGTCTATGAGTACATTCACTCTAAATTACAATAACTTGCATTAGAAATTATTGTAATTTAGAGTTTATTAAAAATAGTTAAACTTGCATTAGAAATTTAACTATTTTTAATGAATATTAAATATTTTAAGATTTATGATCTTACCATATGATACCTATAAGTTTTTTCCAAACGCATATACTTTAAACAGTATTCGCAGATCCATAGTTTAGGCTGTTTACCATATTCTTCTGGATACGGACTAAAGTACCAAGTATCAATCTCATACTTTCCTGAAAATGAACTTTTGAAAATAATAAGACCCTTTTCACACATTAAGTATAATTACAACAGGAAAGTAGATTAATCCTTACCAATTTGAATTTTATCGATATATTTAACTTTTGTAATCGCTTCGTGTTCTTTCTCTAAAGCCGCCGTTGTAGGGTCCATTTCCGCGTATGTCTGAAAATCAATGTAGTAATAATAAAATAAACTAAGTTATTACAAAAACGATTTTATGGTGGTGAAAGAAATACCTTCTGAATATGGTTAATTTCATCGTGCCTTCTTTTCTGATTTCTTGTGATCTTACGATCCGAAGAATCTGCCAATAAATCAGTGGTAGAATTCCTGTCACCACTTTTCCAGCTTCTGTCACTCATGTCAAATCTGCTGGACATGATTCTATCCCTCTGTACCCATTCATCCAGTCTTCTGTTGTGTCCTTCGTAATGTACATAATATTCATAGTGACTTTCACTTTCATTGTAACGAGTTTGTATAATCTCTGCGGGATCTGAACAGCAATAAAAATTTATATTTTATTTAAGCATTGATACAGTAACAAATATTTGACTCATTCGAAAACTCTAACAATACAATCAATTACTGTTAAAAACTGCCACTATAATGTGACAACAATGTTTCTATGTAACACTATAAAACGACAATAATCATGCAATCGTAACAAAAGTAATGGAAGACTATTATAAACAATTCGAGACACGAACACACAATCGTCCATTCTAGTTATTTGTGTGTCTTACAAAACATCAAATATAAATGAATTTTCACTTATTACACATTTCCGTGTCCGCAATTGTCCATAGAATATTTAACGAGAAATATAAACCGGAAATACGTCGAAAAAAATAGCAATAAACTTATTCACGTAGCTAAGGAATCACTATTAACGATGTCTGGTTAATTTCTGATGTGATACTGACTCGAATCGTGACTGTGAGTGACATCATAATGTTTTGAAAACAAGTGCGGTTTATCGGAGCAAAGCCGGTAATACAAACACAGACGAGAGACGCGAAAATCCAACCGATTAATTCACTGTAACTTCGCACGTTCTCGAGCATATTTGTGGCGATGAGATTATTAATATCACGTAATAATAATATATTTACGCCAGGAATCGTCGGATCTACGGACGAGGTAGTGCTCTCCTATATCGAGAGGCAATTCCTCGAGGCTGTCCGCGTCATCGCCCGATCCCTTCCCGCCATTCGTCAACGTGTTCTCACGCTTTTCTTGCTTTACCATCGTTTCCTTCGTTCCTCCGGTACAATTCTCTTTATTTCTCTGCTCCGGCTCGGCCATTTTACCGACAGAAAATCACTGGTCGGTAGGACGATATTCGCCACTGCAAAATGCCCGAAAATAGATGAACATTGCACTCGCTGATGCAACGCGACCGATACGGCCATGAAATTCTCCACAGCGTATATCATACACATGTACGATGTTCATAATATGTACACACAGAAAAGTAACTAGATCGTTGAAAGCGTACTTACTTGCCGGAAGTGACGAAACCTCGTGCCTCGTTCCTTCCTTGCAACTTGCGCCATGCGACAGACAACGGAAGTAATATTTAAATTTGGAGTTCCACGAAATTTTTTAATCGATTGATCGATTCTTACAATTTAGCATGATAATAATAATATTTTATGTACACATATTGAAATCTCACTTGAACTTAAACCTACATTAAAAAAAGGTGTAACATGTATTGTAAATTGTAATCTGTTTCCATTGTGTATACGTTACTACATATCCATTCATAGTGTATGTAGTGAATTATGCACCGCTTCAGAAACGTCAATTTCTTTTCGAACCAATCATGGTTCGAACAAAATCTTCGCATAACCCTTTAATGTTTTTATAAGAAGTAAAACTACAGTTCTATACATTAACTACTTGAAGTGTAATTTCTTCGAGCTGTTTTAAAGTTTTACAAATATGAAATGTTAAGGGATGCACTTCTCTCTTAATCGCGTAACCTCTACTTAATTAGATTATCATGTATCATAGGAAAATGAGATCATGTCAAAGGTTCCTTACGTATCGAAAAATATAGTGAACGATCTACTGCGATATTGACATTACTAATGATATCGGATGAAGCTAAATGTTATTACCATGTTTCGACGAAACAGGTAAACTTTATTTATTATGTAATGAATATGATATGGGTACCTATATAACTAATTTGCGTTCAGTTTCTATTAATGCTTCTATTATAAATGTTCATAACAAATTTGTGTAAACAAATGAGAATTTTATTTTTCTACATTTTTTGAAAAAATGTTTAATAGTTATTGTATCTTTACTATTAACAACTTTTATTATGTAGATTGAAGAACAAAGCGACTGTTGTTGGTCTTGTTATATTGGCTACTGTAGTATATAACGAGTTTCTAGTTTATGATATACAAAAATTCAAGTGGTCTGTACGAGAATGTTCAGAATGCGTGAAAGTATTACTTGTAGCGGACCCACAGATACTGGGCAGGAAAACAGAGGTTTATTTTGGTGCCTGGATGGCACAATGGGATAGCGATAGGTATGAATAACAATTGATTTGTTAATTAGAGCATTTCATAAGTCTTTGAAAGTTTTGGTAACCACTATATATGAATGAACTATAGTTGGAAGTAAATTAAATTAATTTATGCGGCATGTTGCAAAGACACATGAAATGATTTAATAAATTTGTCGATAAAGTCTTCACTCTTGAAAACAAATGTAGAAATTGACCTAGGTTTTGTTCCACAGTGTCCTATTTTCAGGTACTTAAAGAAGACATTTTCAAGAGCTTTGGATCATTCTCAGCCACATGTAGTTGCATTCCTGGGTGATTTAATGGACGAAGGTCACATTGCTAATGCAGGAGAATTTAAAGATTACAAGAGAAGATTAGATTCTATATTTGACATGCCTGATCACATAATGGTAGAACTATAGTCATCATAAATGTTCATTAACTGTTCTTGTTATGCTATAACTAGGTGAACTTTACCTTTTAGAAAATTTACTTACCCGGTGACAATGACATTGGAGGGGAAGAAGATTCGGTCTCGTATAATATGAACAACAGATTTAATTTTGCATATACACAGCCTGCTACCTTAGTTTATAAGTCGGTAACATTTTTCAAGGTAATAACATCATTACCGTGAAATATTTTGACTCGTATTAACAATAATCATAATATTTATCGTTTGTTAGGTTAATAGATTGACTCATACAATGCCAGAAGCTCCAAAAGATGCCTTCCTAAACGATTATGCAGAAAGAAATACAACAAATGTTGTGCTCAGTCATATGCCTTTACTGTTTATGCCTGGTGCTTTTGTGCAAAATGTATGTACTATGTTTTCGCGAAATTGAGATCCCATTTTTTATTTTTATTAATAGCTATCATTCTTTAATAGGTGCTTAAAGAATTGTCTCCTCAAATTATTTTTACTGCACATGAGCATAAAGCAATGCATATTAGTTTAGATACAGCAACAGACCAATTGAGTGAGATTTGGATTTTACCCCCTAACGAAACACCATTGTATCAATTAAGAATGGATGTAGGGGACATTCATGAAGTGGAAATGCCCACCTGTTCGTATAGAATGGGCACACCTCATATAGGATATGGCTTAGCTTACATTGGTAAATAAATAAATATTTTTATGTTAATGTATTGAATTTACATATTTCCGGCACACTAATTATGTGTCTTTATTTTTAGATACTCAAGAGAAGACCGTAGAATTTACTATTTTATGGCTACCAGGAAGATTTCCACAATTGTGGATTTACGTTTATGTTGGAGTATTCATTCTCGTATTCAGTATATTTTTTTATATATCCAGTTGCTGCTTCAAAAGTCATGCCGGTTATACTCGCATGTCTTCGATTTAGTGCACCACGTAATTAAATACAGTTTAAGCCCGTTGATCGATGATAACTTGACACTAGAACTGAGGTACAAAGATCCGTCCAATAAATGTGATTCTACTACCATCTATGTCAAGTTTCAAAATAAGTATTGTGATTAAGATCTATCAAGATTCAGTATTTAAATACTGAACCCTCTTTAAAGAGGGTAACAATTTATCAGTAAACGGGGCTAAACGTACTCCTTAGGAAATGTTCCTAAATTATCATGGTTAACATTTCAATATTAATTCTCATTTTTAATGAATCCATTTACGTTTTACATTATACATCGATTTCAACGTATATATATATATATTCTTAATCTTCTTAAAAATTCATTCACACATGAAACGATGCCAAACTAATTTATTGGTAGCGTATGCAAATACTTAATATAACACATATAATGAATCTCTAATGAAAAGGTAACATAGAATCTCTATAAAGAACATTATGTTCTTTTTTATTACTTTTATTTTGTGAAGTAGCGTATACAGTAGCTACAAAGTTAACATGACAAAAAAACGGCTACGTTTCTCCCTATTTAGTTAAATGGAAGGAGACGATAATGACTTGATTAAGGTATAGTGACAAGTTGTTGAGCAAGAGATCATTTTAGAAGAGAGAATTTATATTTGCGTGTAAGACTGTATATATCTGTTTTCTCGAAATAAATACGAAACGTTGAAGTTTGCCTTATCTTCATTATTATATTTCTACTTTATCTTCATAATCTTTTTACGTACTCATTTATTTATTTACCACGAAATACAGAAGATTCGCGGCATTCATTTTGAAACAAAAATATAATGATGTACCTTTCGACTAGCGCCCGCTATATTTCGCTAACTTCTTGCCGTTCTCGCGTTATAAATCGATATTCAAAAAATTACGTGTATAATTATTATCTAAAATTTAAGAAACAATCTAACAAGACCAAAATAGACACATTAGAATTATTTGCAAACAATTAAAACAATAGACTGCGTCAAGAATTCCAAAGGTATTTCACGACTGTGTCACATGCGACGTATATGATACATAATACATACGATGGGGAAACGAAAAATCACTGGCAATGAAGGAAACCCAAATACGGACTTACAGGAATTTTTAATGGGTAAATAATAGTTATACTATTTCTTATCATCATCTTGAATTTTATTAACCCTGACCGTCACATATGACAGATATATTTTTCATTTTCTTGAATGTATTTCATCTTTTAAAGCATCGACTTGTTAATGAAATTGCAGAATTAGCAGATTATGAACGAAATGTCACCAAAAATGTTTTCAAATATAATGCCTATCGCAAAGCAGCTGCCACTTTAGCTGGTTTACCCGAAAGAGTGGCGAGCGGAGAAGCAGCAATGAAATTGCCAGGAATTGGTAAAAAAATTGCGAACAAGATAGAAGAGTTTTTAAATACAGGAAAGTTACAGAAATTAGAAGATGTATGTATGTTAATTCATTTGTTCAACAACTTATTGTCACACGAACTCCTAAATTTCATATTTTGTTAGATTAGAAAAGATGACAACAATGCTGCGATTAATTTGCTGACAAGAATATCTGGTATCGGGCCTGCAAAAGCAAAAGAATTGGTAGAAGATGGTATAAAGACTATAGACAATTTAAAGAAGCATCAAGATAAACTGAATCACCACCAAAAAATTGGTTTGATGTAAGTTGATAGAAAATAAGGAAACTTTTATGTGTAACATAACTTCTTTTTGTAGGTACTTTGAAGACTTTGAGAAAAGAATTCCTAGAGAAGAGATATGCCAGAGTGAAGAAATTATGAAACATGCCATCAGTGAGTTGAGCAAAGAGTACATTGTAACAATTTGTGGCAGTTACAGACGTGGTAAAAAGGATAGTGGAGATATTGATGTTCTAATAACTCATCCAACATACTCATCCAAGGAGAAAGATGCAAAGAAAAAAGTCACGCTTCTAAAAGATGTTGTTGAATGTCTTGAGAAGAAAAAATTCATTATTGATACAATATCACTTGGGACAACAAAGTTTATGGTGTGTTAAACGTCATGCTATTTTCATATTATTCTATTTTCATCACGTTATAATAACTGAATTTTTTTGCAGGGTGTTTGTCAAATTCCAAACAGTTCCACCAAATCTTGCAGAAGACTTGACATCAGGCTGGCACCTTATGATCAGTATTATTGCGCTGTTATTTATTTCACTGGAAGTGATGTTTTCAATAAAAATATGAGAAGTCATGCTTTGGAGAAAAAATATACTTTAAACGAATATACATTGAGGCGTCTCACATCCGAAGGTAAGCTAAAACGAACAAAATTGCATCATGAGTAGTCTAGTTTTTAAGAAATCAGGATTCAATGAATAACATTTATTATAGGATTACCGGGAAAACCAGAAAAAATAACATCAGAAGAAGACATTTTTCGAATTTTGGGACTGCCGTACAAAGAACCAAAAGAGCGGGATGCTTAAATGAAAATATCTATTATTCATTCAGAGTCTATTTTCTATGCTAGTAAGTCTATTGTTTAGATTTTTGTTATAGAAATTTACTATTTAATGAAGACATTTATGTTACCTTTATTTATAAAAATAAAATACATCATTTCAAAAAATCATTTAAGATAAAGTCAGTTGTTAATTTATTTAGGATTAACTAATGTTGACAGTTGTCCGACGCACTAGTTTTGTTTTTCTTGCACACTGTTTTGTGCTTCCGATTATAAAACTAGGTACAGTTGATTTTTACTCAAATGTTAATTATGTAAAAGTAAGAAGATTATCGTTTCCATCACGATGTAGAGACATTCGTAAATCTATAATATCATACTGATGAGAGTATACTGTTTATACAGTTATAATGATATCTTTCCGGTGTAGTAAGTAGGCGACTAATGCCCACAACATTGTTGTCCACAAATTCATAGCTAACAGTGTCCCGTGTGTGCGATAGGAGATATACCACGACCATGGGAACAAAGATTTCGTTAATATATGACCAACATAAAGGAAGATGGGGTTCGATCCTGCAACAAATGCGTCGTACAGTTATACTTAGTCTACTCATCCATTTTTAGGGTGCATAATTTAAAATATTTACCAGCATAGACAAATGGTGCTCCTGTCCAGAATTGTCTGTAATCAATAAGAAAATACAAAAATGCGAACAATAAGAAAGCTAAACTGGAAGTAGACAAAACGAAGGACAAGCTCATCATCTTTTTGCTGATTGGAATGACTCCTTCCTGTCTTTCAAAATTACATAAAATTCCAGCGATGAGACCCTAAAAAGTATTCGATTATATTACTTTGAAATTTAATTTCTGAGCTAATTTCGTAGTTTAGAGATTTGCTCACCGTGATCATTGCCCAGACCACCCATCTAATGATTCTATAGTTGTGCTGGTAGAATAGTAACAGAATCTTGCCAGCGTGCACGCCCAAATAGACAATAAATATAGCCGATATAGTATTCATTAGTCCTGCAATTGATATATAGTAATTATTAACATTCAACTATTTGCCTTTTACGTTTAAAGTATTATTTGACCAATATACCTTCGGGATCGTATGGTAAAATGGTACCATAAACAGCATCTGATGTCTTATTATAGATGTGATTTCCAAAAATCAATCTGTCTATATAGCCAGCCGCGCCAGCAGTACAGTTCATATACTTTCCACGATGATCCAATTCACCACCTGGTCCGAAGTAACCCCTTGGACAGTTCGGTACAGGCAGGAGGAAAGTAATTAAAGTGTGAGTAGCCACAATGCCTGTTACAATTAGCCACTGGGGCCAGTTGTCTAAAATATCATGAAACGACGCAAACCGGCCGAACTGGAGCAAGGTATCCTAATAAGTCATTTGTATAGATATCCATTGTTCAGATAAAACAGTTTTATGGTTTCAAAATATTAAATAATCGTATGCAAACCTGAGAATGAGGTTTCATGAAGATTAATTCTAAGGTAGCACACACGAAGTACGTTATAGCCAGCAACTGCAGAACACCGGGAAAACGGAGGTCGCCCAAGGACTTTACACGACCATTACGTATGGAGTTCAGCATTAATCCGAAAAGTATTAATATCAGTGACCGTACAAGACAACGTAATGCTATTTTTATACGCGAAGTTGTAATACGAAGTTCTGCGCGCTTCGATATTGCTATTGTCAAACCCATAATCCATGCGAACCTGCAAATTTATTGTTGAGTTCATTGCACAGTATCAATCAACGCGGACTAAACAGTTTTCTATATCTTACCAAGGAAGTACCAAGTCTGCTATTGTAAGTCCAAACCATGCACTGTGATTGAACCAGACATACTCGCCTCCACCATTGTTGACAAATATCATCAATAGTACAGCAATTCTGTAATAAGACACATGACATGATAAACGAAAAAAGCAGACAAGTGGCAAGAAGTTTGCGCAAGAATTACCCTCTAAACGTATCTACAGAATGTATTCTGGTACTGGACTTCGTAGTTCTGATTGTTGGAAATGTTACACTTTCCGACTCCTGAAGCCTTTCCAAATCCTGAAGTATAGTTAAATAAATAACAAGTCAACACATTTGCAACAATTAGTCGAATTACTTACACTTATATTAAGTGGATTATTGGGTGATAATTTCCCTTTTATCACCCGTATAATGACCTTTGAAATCGACCATACAAGCGCAACTAAAATATATATCATAATTGCCGCAATGATTGCTGGAAACATAATTAATCTCGAGTTAATAAACATTCATTATTCCGATCTTCGTTACATTATTATGTGCTATAACTTACGAAGATAATTTTTTGTTGGTTCACGTATGACATAAATGTGAGAACATAAATGTTCAGCCGATATATTCCATCCATAACTGCCGTGCTCTTCGAAGTTATACGTTTCGCTAAAATGACATTATTAATAAATGCGTAATACTAGGTTATTGTCGAAGGATTAAATAGATATATAAAAAAATATTAACTGGCAATAGTCCAAGTAATTAGAGCCTGGTTCTTTAACTTGATAATATATATGCAACGGGTGTTTTGTACTTATTATTACGCCTGTAGTACTTCGTGGTTCTAATACAGCTTGTAGTTTACCATTGCCCTGGAAACAATTCTTAATGTACGCAAGACCCAAAGAATAGAAATTTCTCAAAACATTATAGACGCTTACCCAATAAGCTTCCCATGCCACCGAATAAAAACGAACCGTTGCATTGTATAAATTTACAATATTGAAGCAAGCCTCGTCTATTTCCAGTGTCTTATTAGTATCGGAGCATTGATACGAACTGTCATCTAACACGTCCATTTCGCTGAACTTTGGATATAGAAACTTCTTCCCGCTACTTATATCCAAATATCAAACGATATTTTCAGAGATATCGCGTTCAGTTGATCCATGAGGCGCGGAACGATAACATCTCTGAAATCAGATATCAGTACTTGAAATTGTTGCTAATGGTAATAGGTAGAAACGAAGTCGTTAAGAGCACTTTCTCTTTGTTCTTTCTTTTTTTATGTCATTAATGTTATTAACAGACGAGCAACGTAACGTTATCTATCGATGATATTCACCTGGTCGCTACACACGATGTAAACAACAACACGACGAATCGATTTCAACGCACATATGTAACTGTCAAAAATAAATACAAAGAACGGTTGTAAAAAGTTATCTCCTCGAGCGTGGGTAGTATGTGGTAGATATGAGTCACTCAGTGAATTGCGTAATTGAAATGCATAGAAGATAAAAGGTTTCCCTTATCAAATATAACACCGTAACGCCATGACCAGCCTCTAGTAACCCATAATAAGAAAAAACGAGACGAGACGAGGCTATGAAACGTAGTTGCGTTACTCCACCTGCTTTCGATAGTACTGATTTTAGTGGTGGCCCGTTAACCCTAGACTCTTGATGGAAATAAATATAACAAACAAATCCCTACGTTCGTTAACCATGTAATTAATTGACACACGAATTTATCGATAACAAATCAAATCACCATTTATCGAACAAACATCACCGGATAATTATGACGATTCTAACTAGTTGAAATATAAGAACTTTGATTCTGCTATCTGCGTTATTTGATTTGCAATATCGTATTCCGTGTGCAATCGTGTACAACGCAGTATGCAGCGGATGCAACGCAAACTGCGCAGTCTAGCCTTTCGCAAAAACTAGCGACATGTAACGAAACGTAGGCTTTGTGACGAAGCGGCGAGTGACTTACTAACTTACGATTAGATCTAACTAAAAACTTGGAAGAATTTATATGCACAATGTTAAACGAATTCTAGCGATTTAAGGGCTAGAAGAATATCTTCAGGGTACAGAAATGCGATGCAGACTTTCACCAAAGGATACAATGTAATTCTGCTTCTGAAAATTTAAAAATAGCGCCATTTGGGACGAGTGGCGCCTCTCGCGGCGAGTTTTCGAAGCTTCTTTCGGGATCCGTACAGCGCCAATTAGTCCGGTGGCAAAACGCTCAAACTGTTGGCCAAAATTACCGACAGCTGATTTTGGCCAACAGTTTGAGCGTTTTGCCACCGGACTAATTGGCGCCTGTCTCTTATACACATCTGATGTGTATAAGAGACAGCTTGGTACTTCCTTGGTAAGATATAGAAAACTGTTTAGTCCGAGATGTGTATAAGAGACAGGCGCCAATTAGTCCGGTGGCAAAACGCTCAAACTGTTGGCCAAAATTACCGACAGCTGATTTTGGCCAACAGTTTGAGCGTTTTGCCACCGGACTAATTGGCGCCTGTCTCTTATACACATCTGATGTGTATAAGAGACAGCTTGGTACTTCCTTGGTAAGATATAGAAAACTGTTTAGTCCGAGATGTGTATAAGAGACAGGCGCCAATTAGTCCGGTGGCAAAACGCTCAAACTGTTGGCCAAAATTACCGACAGCTGATTTTGGCCAACAGTTTGAGCGTTTTGCCACCGGACTAATTGGCGCCTGTCTCTTATACACATCTGATGTGTATAAGAGACAGCTTGGTACTTCCTTGGTAAGATATAGAAAACTGTTTAGTCCGAGATGTGTATAAGAGACAGGCGCCAATTAGTCCGGTGGCAAAACGCTCAAACTGTTGGCCAAAATTACCGACAGCTGATTTTGGCCAACAGTTTGAGCGTTTTGCCACCGGACTAATTGGCGCCTGTCTCTTATACACATCTGATGTGTATAAGAGACAGCTTGGTACTTCCTTGGTAAGATATAGAAAACTGTTTAGTCCGAGATGTGTATAAGAGACAGGCGCCAATTAGTCCGGTGGCAAAACGCTCAAACTGTTGGCCAAAATTACCGACAGCTGATTTTGGCCAACAGTTTGAGCGTTTTGCCACCGGACTAATTGGCGCCTGTCTCTTATACACATCTGATGTGTATAAGAGACAGCTTGGTACTTCCTTGGTAAGATATAGAAAACTGTTTAGTCCGAGATGTGTATAAGAGACAGGCGCCAATTAGTCCGGTGGCAAAACGCTCAAACTGTTGGCCAAAATTACCGACAGCTGATTTTGGCCAACAGTTTGAGCGTTTTGCCACCGGACTAATTGGCGCCTGTCTCTTATACACATCTGATGTGTATAAGAGACAGCTTGGTACTTCCTTGGTAAGATATAGAAAACTGTTTAGTCCGAGATGTGTATAAGAGACAGGCGCCAATTAGTCCGGTGGCAAAACGCTCAAACTGTTGGCCAAAATTACCGACAGCTGATTTTGGCCAACAGTTTGAGCGTTTTGCCACCGGACTAATTGGCGCCTGTCTCTTATACACATCTGATGTGTATAAGAGACAGCTTGGTACTTCCTTGGTAAGATATAGAAAACTGTTTAGTCCGAGATGTGTATAAGAGACAGGCGCCAATTAGTCCGGTGGCAAAACGCTCAAACTGTTGGCCAAAATTACCGACAGCTGATTTTGGCCAACAGTTTGAGCGTTTTGCCACCGGACTAATTGGCGCCTGTCTCTTATACACATCTGATGTGTATAAGAGACAGCTTGGTACTTCCTTGGTAAGATATAGAAAACTGTTTAGTCCGAGATGTGTATAAGAGACAGGCGCCAATTAGTCCGGTGGCAAAACGCTCAAACTGTTGGCCAAAATTACCGACAGCTGATTTTGGCCAACAGTTTGAGCGTTTTGCCACCGGACTAATTGGCGCCTGTCTCTTATACACATCTGATGTGTATAAGAGACAGCTTGGTACTTCCTTGGTAAGATATAGAAAACTGTTTAGTCCGAGATGTGTATAAGAGACAGGCGCCAATTAGTCCGGTGGCAAAACGCTCAAACTGTTGGCCAAAATTACCGACAGCTGATTTTGGCCAACAGTTTGAGCGTTTTGCCACCGGACTAATTGGCGCCTGTCTCTTATACACATCTGATGTGTATAAGAGACAGCTTGGTACTTCCTTGGTAAGATATAGAAAACTGTTTAGTCCGAGATGTGTATAAGAGACAGGCGCCAATTAGTCCGGTGGCAAAACGCTCAAACTGTTGGCCAAAATTACCGACAGCTGATTTTGGCCAACAGTTTGAGCGTTTTGCCACCGGCCTAATTGGCGCTGTACGAACGCCGAAAGGAGCTTCGAAAACTCGCCGCGAGAGGCACCACTCGTCCCAAATGGCGGCACTTTTTAATTTCGAGAACCGATGCATCGTACAGGCAGAGATCGTCTCTTCATTTTTTAACAATAAATAAATTGTTTTTAGTACCGGATGAGAAAAGGACTGCACGAACGTTGACGAAAGCGTAGAAAGATTTCAGGAAATCGCACAAACAAATTCCTACGTTGTATCAATAATTTCCCACGTTGCTTCACTGACGCAACAATGAAACGAGGATCCCCCCAACTAATCCTTTGCATTATCTTTCGCGAATGTCCCGACTCAGCTGATTGCTGTTTCCATTGGTCAGCGTCATCGGGCAACCAGCTGATAAACAACTGGTCAACCACGAGCAAAGAAGCCCCCAATAGCCGCGGTCACCGGGCAACGTGACTGATAAACATCAAAGCCGCGATAATGATTGATAAGACCGCAATGATTTCCGTGTTCAATGTGGACATGGACATACAACGAGGCCAGCTCTCAGTCAGTTAAGAAACGATGCTCGTTCTCTTGCTCTGTGTGATTTCGTTCACGCGAACTGCCATTGTTCAGCTCTCAAATCGGTTGTTCGGTAAAGAGAATCAGGGACTCCAACAACCTCAAGACGAGCACCTACAGGATACCATGGACGAACAAGTAAGTACTCGACGTATTTGATTTTTCCGGTGTTGCCTTCGCTTGGAAAATATTGTTTCCGGCGAATAGTCGTCGGTGAGGCGATAAGACAATTACATCTCGAAGCTCGAAATTCTGAAAAGAAGGATTTCGGGGGAACCTTCCTCGATTCTTTGATTAATCTATAGACAGTTTTGTTCGTGGAAAGCGAAAACCGACATGACTGGACTATGTTTGATGCATAAACGCCAAGGAGATCGCTGTCCTTGCTTCGAGATAAATATTGTAAAACATTAAGGAGTTACTTTATTTTTCGTTGGATCGTTTATCAGATTTCCTTATTTCGACGAGCTTCGATTTATAATTCTATGGAAAAGAATGATCTCAAGTATCGAGCGATATACATATGTATAAGAATGATTCACAAACTTCGACTGGTTTCACCAGCGGAACTATTTTTGTCACCTTGATAACACTGGTATGCAGGTACATATATAGTAGATGATTCATAAACTATAACAAAGGTCAACGATCGTTTTGCTTGGTGTTTCCGTTTCCGTGCAGCTTTCGCTGAAATAATTTCAGAACAATCGCACGGCTACGAATCGATAAAATGTTTCACAATTTTCACGTTCGCGTCCCATTGTTTTCATTTATTTCTATACGCTTGCTACGCAATTAATTATCGCTTTCCCGACGAAATTGCGCAAAACAGATAGGGCAAGAATATCTTGAACGATTCTTCTTCGAAAACCGAGCCATCCAATGATTCACGCAACATCCTCGCTTCGTCAATCGCAAATTGCTAATCCTGATCGTTGCTTAACGCTGAACGAATCGTTGCTTAACGCGCTGGATACATTCATCCGGCCAAGGGAAGATGGTGTGCTCTTGGTTCGAAGAATCTTAATTGAGAATACGTTCTCCCCTGCACAATAATTTCTCCCTAATTCGCGCTCAGATCGCGCAAAAATGCTCTTCGCTCTCCTCTTCTAAAATTGTCCATTTCTGTGCACGATCTGAGCGCGAATTAGGGAGAGATTACCGCAGTCTCTTCTTTCGATAGAGAACAGAAATATTTTCCATCCTAAAATTTGTAGATCGGAACGAGAAAATAGATAATGCGTTTAAATTTGGTATCGCTGCATAGCCGCCATTTTGTCGGCGTTTTGCATCGTTCCGTTTTCCACGCAAACAGGTATCGCAAGCGAACTATTTTTCACCACCTTTTTAATCGTGTCGCGTTCCACCGAGCATTTACATTAGAGAGATCATTAAAAGATCTGCAATATTAATTAGTTTCTCAGTTGTTACGCAAAAATTAATTTGGCAGCGATCGTGTTAACAGAGATTGCAAGAAAAAATATATATATATATCACATTAATATATTACAAACAGAAAACGTTAAGTCGGTCAACGCACTCTGTGCCCTCGAGACCTAATTTTTCCCGGTCGCTTCTTGGAATTTTGGTTATCTATCGATCGGTCGCCTCTTCGACCATTATCTCTGATCGTCTTAAAATCTCTTCGAGACGAAAGATCGAGCTTTTCCCGGTGATATCGGGCACGCGCGAGTCACCGGATTCGAGTTGCGATCGATGACCGATGAAAAAAAGAAAGAGAAACAGGATCCATGGTGCAACCGAACAATAAGGTGCTACCGCGATAAGGAAATGGCCTAGAAAGATACCGAGACTACGCGGACCCGTGTCAACGGGTTATTGGGAAACGAACGAAGGGGACGTTAATTAGCAGTAGTTATTAGAATCGAATAGATTATCGAGCATGCGACACCACGGTTCCAGGAGATTGTCGACGAGATGTACGCGATGCAATCACGATGAAATCACGATTCTATCGATCCTAACAACAATCGCCTAGCCAAGGTTTATCGGATGATAGTATCCCGTTATCTTATTGGTCATATTCTTGCGATAAATCGGCCCGTTCCTCTGATAAAACGGTGATCTCTCCCGATCGATGCAAAGGAGATTCGCGCTTCTGGAAAATAATGCATTCGATGACGATCGATGCTCCTTGACAGATAAGACGGAGATGCGTTTTCTCTTTACGTCGTCCGATAAGCGAAACCTTAACCCTGACCCGAAACCTCTTAGTATCTACAGTAATGTCTCCCTTACCGATGCTCGGATTGTCCACTAAAATGGATAATTTGGGAAGAGGTGACGCGATTGTTCGAGCCTCGCGGCTCGTTTTTATAATTGTGGACAATTTAGAACTGTAACGATAAACCGCGAGGCTCGAATAATCGTATCTCCTCTTTCCAAATTGTCCATTTTTGTGCGCAATCTGGGCGTCAATTAGAGAGACATTGCTGTACTTCGCGTAGATCGGAACGATACCCAAGCCCGGCAGAAAATTAGTCGTTTTACGGTTCGGATAATCGCGACGAATATTTTTGTACCTCCGAGCTTTCGATTTGCAGGCCGGTCACGCGCCCGAATATAAGAGGCAACGATCCACGAAGGGTTCCAAAGATATCGACTCCACGGACACTATAAAGATCCAGGAAGCTTGGGAGGATTACGACGACGACGAGTATTTTCCGTAAGTGAATTTTCGTGGACGTCGAGCAGAGATTTTTGAAGATACCAAAATTTAACACCATTCCGTTAAAATCATTTGTCCTTATCCGCGTTGCAGCAAACCGGTTCATCTGGTGAAATCGCCGGTCACGAAGAACGACACGTATTACAACATGAATCATAAGAGGCGAGGAAAGTGCGTGATATTCAATCACGACGTGTTCGATTCGGGGGAGAAACATCGCGACGGGTCCAAGCTCGACGTCAAGATGATCGAGACTATTTTTCAAGATGTACTGGAGTTCGAAGTGATTCCGTATCACAATTTGACCAACAACGAGATCACCGAGACGACTAAACGACGTAAATGCCTGCGTTACGATCCCAAGAATTTATTCCAGGGGGAAACGTAGCTTTCGGAATTCTACTAAAATAGAGCTTGGATTTACAGTGAGCGCGGAGAATCACAGCGACAGCGACTGTTTCTGCATGTTCATATTGACGCACGGTACGTCCGGCGATACGTTGGCAGCCAGTGATTGCTATTATCCACTGAAAAGCATTTGGCAAAAGTTCACCGGGGACCACTGCCCAACCCTAGTCGGGAAACCGAAGCTTTTCTTCGTGCAAGTAAGTCGACAGACAGTTGCCTTTATCGAAGATCATTTATAAATTTAAAAATAGCGCCATTTGGGACGAGTAGCGCCGCTCGCGGCGAGTTTTCGAAGCTCCTTGCGGCGTTCGTACAGCGCCAATTAGTCCGGTGGCAAAACGCTCAAATTGTTGGCCAAATTATCGACAGCTGATTTTGGCTAACAGTTTGAGCGTTTTGCCACCGGCCTAATTGGCGCTGTACGAACCCCGAAAGGAGCTTCGAGATTTCGCCGCAAGAGGCACCACTGTCGCCAGCATTGGCAGAATGCATGGTCGCCGAAAAACTTTAATTATGGCGATATTAAAGCACAGAAATATAAACCAAAGCTGCAGAATTGTACAGGAGAATATACTGCATCGATCTCGTATTAAAAAACAAATCGCAAAATTGCGAAACGTAATTAATCGCGTTTCGAAGTTTGATTAACTATTACGTTAATTACTTATATTTTGTAACGTTGTCATCCGCTTTCTTCGCACTGTATCGACGCAGCTGACGCTCCTCTATAAATCGGTGCCCTTGGTTTATCGTTTTATGCCCTACTTTTGCCTTAATTAATATTATTCGGCGACTCTGCGTTCTACGAATGCGGGCGACAGTGCTGCCTCTTGCGGCGAAATCTCGAAGCTCCTTTCGGCGTTCGTACAGCGCCAATTAGTCCGGTGGCAAAACGCTGAAACTACTAGTCAAAATTACCGACAGCTGATTTTGGCCAACAGTTTGAGCGTTTTGCCACCGGACTAATTGGCGCTGTACGGACCCCGAAAGGAGCTTCGAAAACTCGCCGCGAGAGGCGCTGCTCCTCTCAAATGGCGGCACTTTTGAATTTCGAGAGTATTTTTAATAGCCAGCAAACTGTTTTTTCGCAACGTAGACGCGGATGTTGACGAAGAAGTTTCAAATTTTCAACTTGTTCTTTCTAGACGAAGCTTTTTGCTATAGCGCAACGTTAATCGTAGTTTATTACATTCGCGGAAGGACTCGCAGTCTAGCGATTAGGCTGTGGAGAAATGCAATAACGCATACGTTGACTTTCAGGCCTGCAGAGGTGATCAATACGACGCGGGGGTCGGAGTGTACAGTACCGAGAATTCGGAGACAGATTCTGTAGCCGTCGCTTCCTACAAAATTCCTACCCACGCGGACTTCCTGATCGCTCACAGCACGATGGATGGTAAACTTCCGTCGATTAGCCGGAGAACTTGCAACCCTTTCCCATCCGCTACCAGCCCGAAACACGTAGTCGCCAGCTAACGTATTATTTCCTGTTCGAAAGGATTCTACTCGTGGCGCAACCCGACGGAAGGCACCTTCTACGTGCAACAATTGTGCGAGGTGATAAAGGAGTACAGGCATAACCATGATTTGACGGAGATGATGACCATAATTGCCCGCATCGTCGCCAACGAGTACGCGTCGTCCCACTATTTGCCGCACAAAGACGATCAGAAGCAGATGCCTACGATAACGTCGACGTTGACTCGGAAAATTCTTTTCACAAAGAAGAATAGACCGGCGTAAATCTTGTCGTTATTAATTTTGCGGGAGTTTCTGGATACACCGTAAGGAATCTTTTCGACTTTCATCGGTTCGATCGGGCGCGATAGAAAAATAGAAAATTTCGTTGAAATCGAATGTTTCGAAAAAGTCGCGATCACAGAAATATCAATTCGCGGATGTTCCTCTCATCGTCGACCGCCGTAGCTTCGAAGACCTCGAAGATGGAAGTTAGAAACGCGAGACGTCTTTCCCTTTCTTTTCGAGAAGATCTGGTACCCTCCAACAATACCCGACAAATCTTACAAAAAAAAAAAATGATCTCTGAAATGATCTCTTCGTTTACAGTTTCGCTTCGACGCGACTTCGTCGATCGGCGGAAAAGCTATTAGTTTTTATTGATTTACGATTAAAACGAGTATTATACTAATATATATATATATATTACGACGGCGCGGCTCTACGAACAGACAAATTATTCGCGAAGCAACCAACGATGTAAATCGCCTTGAATAGCTGTACAAAGTGTCTGAAATGTTTCGCGTGGGTGGTCCTGCTGTGATAAATGTACGAAAGTACGTTAATAACTTAATTTTCCTTATCCCGGCGAATGACAGATCACAGCCTACGACACTTAAAATTTTAAGCAGGCGACTCGAGCCGGTCGCGAACGGCTGATCTCGTAGTTAGGTTAATCGTAATCGGACCGGCGGAGTCGCGAGTCGCAACCGAGATTTTCACCGACGAGTCGTAGAAACCTGAATCTACGTTCGCGAGCACGAACGATTATGATACGAACGATATACAGCAATGTCTTCCTAATCGACGCTCGGATTGTGTCAAAAAATGGACGATGTGGGACATATTATTCGAGCATCGCGGCGCGTTTTTACAGCCGTTGACGATTCGTGACTATAAATATGAACCGCAAGGATCGAACAGTCGTATCTCCGTTCCCTAAATTGATCGTTTTTCTGGACAATCCGAGCGTCAATTGGAGAGACATTACGGATAGCGGTCGGCGGACCGTAGACTCGCGGGAACACGCATCGTGCTTCTTCAAATAAAATAAACAATTTTTACAAACTCCAACCTCTTTATTCGTATTCTACAAGCATCCCGGGCGAAAGGAAACGTCCATAGAACAATCGAAGGACCCGATTCTACGATGCGGCAGGAACGTGTGCGAACTTTTCTTCTCGCAGAGTTTACGGAGCGCCGGGAAAGTTCGATAAACATGTTCGGGGGTCCGTTCGAATGCAGGGAACACGGGGCTCCTGACAAATAATATCGTCGGAGATCGATCCTGACCGCGGGAAACAAGGCTGGAAGCGTTTCAAGCGACGGAATTATGTAACGCGAGGAGAAAGACCCCGAAGTCGCTCTCCCTGGGACCGATTTTTCCGTCGGCGCCGTTTCATCTTGATCCACAATTTCATGCTTCTCCTTCGTCTCTCCCCGTCTCTTCCGCAACCTTTCCCCCTCATCCCCGTTCCCTTTTTTTCGTTCTATCGTTCGATCTCGTTGCAACATTTTCCCGGCGCGGATCTCTCCGGAGCACTCGTTCCTGCTCGATCTCCCATCTGTATTTAATTGGCTCTCCGCTCGGGACCGCTGTCTGCGCTTCGAAATGAAAAACGCTCGTTAACTTTAAACAAGCGGTACCGACGTGCCACCAATTACTGGCTGGTTCTGAAAGAAAAAAAAGGAACGGACGAAATCCCTGTTCGCGCGGAAAAATCAGGGTCGAACCGCGTTCGACGCGAATCCCCGCAATCTCTCTCTCTCTCTCTCTCTCTCTCTCTCTCGCGTAGATCCGCTGAAAATACAATGCCACGTCGGTTTGTCTTTCGGTGGTAGGTTCGTTCGAAAGATTGCCGGAAGAACGATTCGATTACCGGACAGGCTATCGCGAGGCACCGCGACGACCTTCGTCGCCGATCCGGTTCAAATTGGTCGTCTCGTGGCCAATGAAAATTGCTCCGCCGCAGGCGCATCGTAATCGACGCGATTCCAGCGACATTAGGCCCGCGTTTGGTCGGTCGATTCCGGCGCGCGACAAATTGATCGAGGCAGGAATGCTGGTTCGAAGCTCTCGCAGCGCGTTAACCATTTTCGACTTTCGAGTCGAAACGTCGACTCGCGAGCAGAATAATTTCCGTGCGACGCGTTGCAGAAGCGAGTTACCGTCGACGGAGGTCAAAGTTCGCGTCCCGCTACCATCCGCGGTGCGCGAAGATAAGAGATCCGCGTCCGCGTCGTCGCAGGCCTCTCCGGCAACGCTCGATCCCATCGAAACGCGTCGAAACCGGAGCTCGAACCCCGCGAATCGATCCGTATCTGCTCGCGTCTATCGCGCCCATCGGCTTCGCGTCGGTTTCGCGGCGCCTGTCGCGGCGGATACAATGCTCGCGGCGAAGCGGACGCGAGCGCGGCCGCGTTGGAGAGAAGAAGAGGCCTGGAAAAAATGGGATTGCTCGATGGACGCGCGTTTACAATGCCGATTTCCGAGGAAAATGGAAGAACCGTGACACAACGGCGGCCAAGCGTTAAATTCCAAGCGGCGCGCGCGAGACGCAACGGCCGAGAGATGACTAATGCATTGTAGATCGGACGCGTTGATACATGGTGACGCGCTTTATTAGCCGGTCATCGGGAAAACGCAGCTACGCTGTTCGCCGCTCCGAGAATAAGCTCGCGGGGATACGCGTTCGTCGACTCCGACTCCGCGAACTCCGAGAGCTCGATTTAACGGGACGAGCGTGCGCTCCGTTAGGATATCGAATCTTCTCGCGCTCGATTCTACGCGGACAAGGCTCGGAGAAGAGCGGGAGGCCTTCCGATCGAGGAACACGCTGGATTTTCTGGAGCATCGAGCGGTTCCGCGTTCGCGACTGTCCGCGAGCACGTCGACGCTTCGTCGGGCTCTAGCGTACTTTTGCGAGCGAGTTGCACGGAAATTATTCTGCTCGCTTCTGCAACGCGTCGCGGCTGCTTCGAAGAGGACGCGTCTCTTGACCAGCCGCAAACGGACCGCCGATAGGACAACTCCAAACAGCTTGGACCGAGGCGCGACCGCAAAGGGACCCGGATAAGCCGACTCCCTATCAAAATTCTATGGGAGCCCGACTCCGGGGCCTGGACAAACGCACCCCGACGCCTCGACGAGACTCCGGGAAGGTAGGGCGCCGGAGCGGATATCGGATCCGTGGCTGTCCCGTTCCTTTCATCGGCGGCCCATCGGGAGGATCGTTGTGGCGGACGATGCAACCGGTCTCCTTTGACGATCCGAGTCGATCGCGGACCGACCGATTAGCTCGGTCACCGGAACGCGGGAGGACGCGGCTACCTTTCTCGACGCGGAAGGACGATGACCGGGAGATCGTGGCTGGAGCCGGTGGAGCACTTTCGGCGTCGACGGGTATTTGGAAGCCGCGAGAACAGGCGGTTCGGGGCTCGGGGCTCGGGGCTCGGGGCTCGGGGTTGTCGGCTGCGGGACGGCCGGGGGTGCACGAGGGGATGTGTTTCTGGTCGTGGAGCGTACCCAAGAGCGAGGAGCTTGCGCGAACAGATCAATACTGCCCCCGCGCGTGAATATCACCCCCTCTCTCTCTGTTTTCCCCTCGTGGCTCCTGGCTCCTGGCTCGTGGCTCCTGGCTCCTGGCTCCTTGAATCCTAGCTCCTGGCACGGCGAGTCTCGCCGATCTCCGAGCGTCTCTTTCTCCCAAGGCCGTGGTCGCGCGACCGTGTTTCCGTTTGCAATCGAGACGAACGTTTTGGCCAACTACGCCCAGCATTTTTGTTCCGATCGCTGGAAACACTTCTCGTCCATTCGCGATCGAACTCCGATCGATGCCTGACGATGCTCGGTCCAACGTTGGTCGACGTATCCTCTCAATATCTACGGCGATCCGTCTCTGCTCGGCGTCGATGTTTTCCTTATCGGCTTCGAGATTTTGCGTTGCTGCAACGAAAGAAATGGGTTCGTCGTTTTAATGTACGATCGAAATTCTGCGGGACGCGAAAACGGTATAAAAAACACACACACAGCGAGATTAGTAGAACGCGGAGTTTTTCGTAGATAGAACGATTGGAACGATACGGACGGCGAAACCGAGCGAAGAAGATGTCTCTTTGGTCTCGACGTCGCGAGACCGAAGCGTACAGTAATGTCTCCCTAATTGACAAGGTTCGAATAATCGTATCTCCTCTTCCGAAATTGTCCATTTTTCGGCACAGTCCGAGCGTCGGTTAGGGAGACATTACCGTATTTGTTTCGAAAGCGAGCAACCTTTCGCGAACGCCGCCGCTTCGCGGGCTCGAACTAGGGCACGAGAAAATAGTGAATAAACCAAGACGCGAGATTGTCGTTACCTCCGGTCTCCTCTCCGTCCGCCTTTCTCGTCTTCCCTCGATCGTTCGGACCATTAAGCGAGAAAACTTTTGCTGCGAAAGCGATGCCTGCAGATGCCATCGCAGACTTTGCTAGTTCCGGGACTTCGGAATGCGGGATTCGTTTCGTCGAGAGCCGTTCGGAGCCACGAAATCCTCCGCGACGATATTAGCTTCTGGATGGCGACCGTCGGGTCGACTTCGACCCAGCAGTTCGGAGAAAACGGTTTGCGAAACGATGTCGGACGGCCTGGTAGAAAGTTTCGTTCGGCAATTTCTGAAGCTTTTTTCCAGGATAATTTGTCCACCGTGCAGCAGAGGTCTGCGACCGCGGCCCGAGATCCTCGTCCTCCGTCTTCGTTCCTGCTTTTTCCTGCGCTATTTGTCTTCCTTTCTTCCGGGTCCACGCTTCTTTCTCGATCCCTCTAATCTCGTTGGCGAGACTCGACGTCCTTCGTCTCCTCCTTTGGTCGTCCAGCCGGGCGACCGTCGCTAACGCGTCGCTTAATTCCCTCTCCTCGCTTTCTCGCCCTCGCGACCCTCTCCGCGCCCTTCCGCGCCCTTCCGCGCCCTTCCGCACCCTCGTTCGCCCTTTCCGCGCCCTTCCCTCGCCGTTCCCTCGGCACTCGGCACTCGGCACCGCCGCTTTTCCCAGCTCGAGCGTGTATTTCCGCGTGCCCGCCTCCTCCGGGGCGCTTCGCGGCAAGGTACACACCTTCCCGACTTCCGACAAGACGCTTCTTTTCCGCGAATCGTCGCTCTCCCGACCTCCGGCACCGCTAACCGGGTCGGCTTCCATCTCCGAGAGTCTATAGACAGTCCCCCTGTTCTCTTTCGCCGTCCGATGGGGACGACCATCGGGCTCGATCCGGGTCTAATTTAGGTTTGCGCAGGATTACGCGGGTTCGCTCGCGTCTTCTTTCAGCAGCGACGCGGAGATCCGTTAATTGGTCTTTGGTCGGACTCGCTCGGGTTTCGGGTTTCCCGTTTCCGGATTATCCGGCACCGATCGGGGATTCGTTCGACCGATCGCG